CAAGAGCGCAGAAGGAGCCCACTGGCTAATTTAGAATATTTGAATCCAGAAAGCCCTCAAGTTGGCAAAGTGAGACAGAATATCAGTATTTCATGGGTATCACATTTTATTATTTTTGCTCCACATCAAAATCTGTGACTCCATTTGGTTTCTCACCAGTCCTTCTGGAATCGAGGCTCCTTTCTGAGGAGTGAGCTCAGTGTGAGCAACTGGCAGAGCGCTGGGCGCTGCTGTTTACTCTGGATCCCGGCTACCCAGCTGAGGCCCAGTTCAAAACAACAGGGCTCTTGTTTTTGTTTTTCTTTTTTTCTTTTTTTTTTTTTGAGTTTTGAGTTTTGAGGAAAAACTGGAGATTGGCACAGAGAGAGCTGCCCCACAAGGCCATGCTATGTGGGGGGCGAATCTCCCAAAATATGAGAGGAAGTGTTCGAACTGGCGCTGGGGAAGATGCCTAAAGGAAAACTGTGAGTTCTGCCCTTTGCAGAATCTGCTGCAAAGATTTATTTTGATTACATTTCTTATAACTTTTAAGGTTTCTTGGACATTTGCAATAAAATCAACACAAGCTTAAAGTTAAAAAAAAATCACCGGATTAACCTGTTTGTTTTTTTACTTGATGGGAACATTTTTCACATAAGCACTCAAGAAGCATCATACATTTTAGGGCTGTGTCCTTCCTGCAGGACACTGTGGGCCCAGAACAGTGCACAGTTTCAATCACATTAAACCAAGAGAACAACAGAAGTCTAATCGAGAGATTGTAACAATATTGAACTAATGAGGGTTTGTGCACCTGGATTTAAAAATGCATCTGTGGACTTGAACCATTTCGAACCAGAGTGACCCAGCAGGTGGGAATGAGATAATTTATTCTAGAGGTTTAAATTAAAAATGTAACAAGCAAGGCCAGGCACAGTGGCTCACACCTGTAATCTCAGCACTCGGAGAGGCCAAGGCGGGTGGATTGTTTAAGCTCAGGAGTTCGAGACCAGCCTGAACAAGAATGAGACCACCCCCCCATCTCTACTAAAAATACAAAGAAATTAGTTGGACAACTAAAAATATATAGAAAAAATTAGCTGGGTGTGGTGGTGCATGCCTGTAGTCCCAGCTATTTGGGAGACTGAGACAGAAGGATTGCTTGAGCCCATCAGTTTGAGGTTGCTGCGAGCTAGGCTGATGGCATGGCACTCTAGCCCAGGCAACAGAATGAGTCTCTGACTCAAAAAAAAAAAAAAAAAATTGTACCAAGCAAAAGAGAGATGTGAAAGGTAAGGAACTGTAACTCTGGAAGCCTAATCCCTAATGGTCAGCTATGGCAGGACAGGGACATCTTTTGTTTATGAAAAACAAACTTTAAGTTAGAAACTCTATAAAAGTGTGGCACTATATTTAAAATTTTAGTATAACTGAAATATATTCACAGGAATATTTAGTATCTAATAGGTCAATGAAGTGCAGGTAAAAATAAAAATTTAAAGGATAATTAGACAAAATCATAGGAAATATAAACAATTTCTTGAAATTAAAACTTAATGTAGCCTCCAAATTTGATATAATTCTTATAACATGTATTAACATTGACATTTAAAATTAGTTATAGTTATTAGATTTCTGAATATGTCTCCATCATATTTGTACATCACCAGTTTACCTAATGTCTTAATATTGAAACATTTCCAGGTTCTGTGAGGGGGATTCAGCCTTTGGGGCTCGGCTCATGCTGTGGGGCCTTGGGAAGGCAGGGGTTGTGAACTGAAATAAAATCTTAAGGCTTCTGTTAGGTCCAGAGCAAGAGGGAAACACACCAAGCCTGTGGTGTAGCTTTGAGCAGATGGGTGCAGAAAAGCGTCCACCACGAGGGAGGGGAGAGGCCTGGGTTTTATAGAGGGTGTCTGGGAGGTGGGGAGTGAGCAGCAGCTGCAGACATAGGAGACAGGTAGCTTCATCCTTACCAGGGAGGATAGGAATGCCCTGTCACTGCCTCTGTCTACGGATGGAGTTAGATTTACAACCCTGGACTCTCCAGACGCCTGTGGCTTTTGTTTTATAGGCTTTTGATCACTAAGTTTTCCATTAACCGCATTACTGTCCTATACATACTTTTCCAGTTCCCACCCAAAGCAAACCTAACAGCTTCCTTCCTGCCCCCATGGCTGACTGAATGGACCTCCTCCTGGCCAAGGGGATATCCTAAAACTACATTGCCTGTCACTAGGAGGGAGGTCAGACAGGCCTCATCATGCCCCCCTCACTTCTTGGGGACATCAAGACACACCTGAAAGTCTTCAATACACACAACAAATCTATGTCTAGTGGCTTATCTCTGATAAACAGCTCCTTATCTTAGAATATTCAAAGCCTTTAGACAAAGCTTCATGTCTTTAACCCATTACAAATCAAAGAGTCTTTAAACCCACCTATTACCTGTAAGCCCTGATTTGAGATGCCCTGCCTTTTAGGCCAAACCAATGTATGCCTTCCACATACTGATTTATGACTTTACCTGTAACCCCTGTCTCCCTGAAATGTATAAAACCAAACTGTGACCCAGCCATGGTGAGTCCACTTGTTCAAGGCTTCTTGGGTGGGGCTCCGGGCCATGGTCCTCAAATTTGGCTCAGAATAAACCTCCTGAAATTATTTCACAGAGTTTGTCTTCTTTTCCACTGACAGGGTTCTGCTCACTTGAACTTCAGGCCTGGCCTCCCACCCCCATCCCAGGTGAGGCTGGCAGGGTTGAGGCCCCTGTGGGGACTGTGGGACACAGAGCAGACAGGAACAGAGTTCTGGTGTTAAGACACAAAACCCAGGTGACAAGGATGAGATAGTGCATCCACATTTTGCTCCAGAGGACAAACTAAGGCCATGATGACCTTGCTGTTGCTGGCAGGGATGTGAAGGAGCTCTGGAAGTTTCACCCCAAAATATGACTCCTTGGTATAAAGAATATTTTGAATTACAGGCCCTTTGAGATAAAAAAAAATGCACTGGAGGGGGCTTTCCCTTTATCTGCATAAAGTGACCAATCAAAAGATCAAAGGGGGCTTCCCTTCTTCTTCCTGTCATCTCAATATATTGCAGGAAGGAGGACCAAGAATGCAACCAGACCTGGGCCAAATGTTTCAATATAATACCTCTCAGGTTAATGTAATTTGCTAAGAGAGTCATTTACAAGTCAATCTGTCTCCCCATCCATTTCTCCTCCCCAGCACCACTTGTCACCTATAAATAGAATCACCTGCACTCATCTGCCCTCCACTCTAAAGACAGGCATAAATATATCTAAACTTCATTAGGATATTGAGTAATCACTCTGGGGTTCTCCCCATGTGCATGGTGGATAAATCTTTCTATTATCAATCTGCCTTAATTGTGCATAGATCTTTCAGTGAACTTACAGGGGAAAAGGCAAGTTTGATGAGTACGGGGCCAGCTGGTGGTGCTCAGACTCTGTAAAATAATGTAGAGAGGTTTATTCTGAGCAGAATTTGAGGACTATAGCCCAGAGCCACACCCAAGACCACTTGCTTTATTGAGCAAGTGATCTCACTGTGGCTGGGTTCTGGTTTGGTTTTATACATCTCGGGGAGGCAGCAATTACTCGTGAAGTAGTCAGTATATGAGAGGAATAAATTGGTTTGGCCCCAAAAGACAGGACATCTCAAAGCCAAGACTTACAGGTTACAGGTGGGTTTAAAGACTCTTTGATTTGTAATTGGTTAAAGACATGAAGCTTTGTCTAAAGGCTTGGAACGTTTTTAAGTTAAGGAAGTCTGTTAATCAGTGACAAGCCACATATATCTGAACTCAGTGATTTGTTGTGTAAATTGCAGGTTTGTCTTGCACAGCCTGAGGCCTGTCAGTGAGTTACAAAGGATGTCTCCAAGGAGGGACTGGCATGACCATTCAGGTCTGACCTCCCTTCTCACGCAAGTGACTCAGCTTGGCCAAGAGGGGGTCCATTCAGGCAGCTGGTGCGGGGAGCCTTACGATTTTATTTCAGTTCATAAGTTCAACTGCTACACAGTTCTCCGACATCTTCACAAGTCGGGCCCTGTTGCAGGCCTGCCTGGACTGGCCACCTCCTGATGGGCGTTGATGTCATCCCATTGCCCTTTTAACCCCAACCTTCTTGGCAGAACAAGAATTACTCATTCTGCTTCCATTTGTCCAGGAAAGAATAAAAAACGGTTCACGCTTTACAGCGTAGATGGGAAGAGTAAGTGAATTATTACCAAAAATCCCTGAGAAGGTGCACGTCCTCTGCCAGAAACCTCTGCCTCTTTGTCACTCTTCGGGGATCCGACCCGGAGAGGGGATGGGGCCCGGCTGCACTCCCGCCCGTGCCCCCATACCCTCTCCGGGTCGGATCCCCGCTCCCTACCCCCACGCACCCCCTTCTCTGCCTCGGATCCCCCCCAACCCCCACCCCTTCTCTGCCTCGGATCCCCGCCCCCCAGCCCTCCGGCGCTCCCCGGCCCTCTCCGCCTCGGGCCCCCATCCCTGCGCCCCCCTCTGGATCGGACCCCAACCTCCGCGGCCAGTCTCCGCGTCTGACCCCGACCCCCACCACCGCGCCCCCTCTTTGGATCCGATCCCCGCTGATCCCCCGGGTGGCCGGCCGGCAACGTCGAAACTCAGCGTCCACACAAGGGGGCGCTTTGCCCTGGCGCGTGCGACAGCGGGAAGCGCAGGCCGAGAAGTGCGCCTGCGCGGAGCCCTGGACGGAGCCTTCTCCGTGGACGCCTGAGTGCACCGCGCCTGCGTGGATCGAGGGCGGTGGCTCTGCTTCTCCGGACGGCGGGGCGCGTATGGACAGCGCCTGCGCAGTGCGCCGGGCCTGGGCGGGGCTTTCTCCTCCGACGGCCTGCGCGCACTGCGCCTGCGCGGGTTGAGGGCGGTGGCTCAGGCTCCTGGAAGGGACCATCCGCCCCTCTGCGCCAGCGGTGTGGACCTAGAACCCAGCGGAGAAACGTGGCTGAGGTAGGTTTCTTGATGGGCAGCTCGGATGGCTGGACCGCACGTGACGCAGGACACGCCAGGCGAGGGGTCCTTGATCTGCCTATGCCTTGCTGGAGGACCGAGGCCTCCGCCCCTTTTCGGGACCACAGAGCACCCTCCGGGTCTGTCAGCTCCGCGCTCCGCGGCTGTCTGCTGGCTGCGGGGCCCCGCCACGCCCCTTCCCTACTCGGCGCCACGCCCCCTTCGCAGACGCCACGCCCCCCGCTCTGCCAACCTTCTTCCCCAGCCACGCCCTTAAGCCACGCCAGTGGCCTTATCGTCTCACTGTGCCCCGTGACGCCCCTTTCTTTCGGGCCACGCCCTTTGCCCACGGGCTACGCCCACTTCTCTCGGGCCCGGCCTCCCCTGAGCGCTTGGCACCCGTGGCGGCTTCCCGCCTGCTGGGGCCTCGCCTGCACCTCAGGGGGGCGGGGTCCTGCATCCGCCCTGCCCTGCCCTGCCCCTGCCCCACCCTGGACCGAGGATTGACAACGAAAATGTACGGAAATTAATATTTATGGTCGTAAGTATCACGAAAAGAGTGTCAGGGTTTGCGTTTGTAGAGAAGTACGCGTTTTAAACGAGGAATTGCTGTGTGTTGTTGGGAAAGCGAGTCCGTCCCGAGCGGTGGAGCACCTCGTGCTGGGAAGGTAAAAGACTGCAGGAGCACACCTGGGTTCCCCGTGGTGGAGCACCTTGCACTGGAAAGGTAAAAGACTGCAGGAGCACACCTGGGTTTCCCGTGGTGGAGCACCTTGCACTGGAAAGGTAAAAGACTGCAGGAGCACACCTGGGTTCCCCGTGGTGGAGCACCTTGCACTGGAAAGGTAAAAGACTGCAGGTGCACACCTGGGTTTCCGGTGGCAGAGCGCTCAAGTCCTAGCAGGGAATTTTAACTGGAGTTAAAGCTGTGAGTTCCAAGGAAAGAGTTGGACATCCCTTTATTGTTTTAAATCAGCGTCGTGATCTGACAGAAACTAACAGGCTTCGGCAAATGAGTGAGGTTAACACCTTGTAGACTGGTGAGAAACACACTATTTGAAGTTTATACTTTTTAAATGCCTTTAATTGCCTATGTAAAGAATTGTGATTATAATTTTTATTTCTAGGTCATTCTTAACACATAACACATTTTACTTCCATTTGGAAGTACCTTTATCATGTACCTTAGAACTTAAGTGAATTTAATTATTAAGCGATGTAACACACATTTGTGTTTGTCTCTCTCTTTTAAAGTAGAAATGGAGGAGAAAATGAAGTAATTCAAGCAGCAGTTATGAGGCAGAGCCTAAGAGAACTATGGCAACATCAGGTGACTGTCCCAGAAGTGAATTCCAGGTAATTTCGGTTCTGGTGTGTAAGAACCTGTGTTTAATGAACTGAACATGACAGAGAGCTGACCATCAGCTTACGGATGCATGTGCCGCTGAAGGTGGCCACCACCAGTGGGATGCTTAAGTTTAAAGAATGGGCAGGCAGAGGAGACAGAATGTTTGTAAGATGACATCCTGAATTAGGCACTGTAAATACTTCTAAGGAAATACTTAGGATGTCCCAAATCATCTTAGTCACCCATGGTTCCATTTTTGGTCCCTGAGCCGGTGAAACAAATATATTTTTTTCATTTTTTAACAAAGTTTCAGGCATAATACCAGCAATATGTTGAAGGCAAGCTGGACACATGAGCAAAGATTTATGGATTCATACTGATTTTCTGTCCGAGATACTCATCTAGTTCATTCAAGTTAATTAAAAAAAAATCACCTTAAATTATAAGGAATGTTGATTATGTAAAATTAACCAAATGAATACTTTAATAAATAATGTTTTTAAAAATCAAACATTTTCATGTCTGTGATGTCAATTTTAACACTTACTTTTCCTTTCATTCTAATGGTCTACTTTAATTTGGGTTTTTATATATAGGAATTTATATTTTAGTAGATTTAGGAGTACAAGTGTTCTTTTTACATGGATGACTGTATAATGCTGAAGTTAGGGCTTTAGTGTCCCTGTTACCAAAATAGTGTGCACTGTACCTGATAGGTAGACTTTTATCCCTCATCCGCCTACCACCCTCCCCCCTTCTTAGTTCCAATGTCCATTATACCACTTTTGTTTTTTTTTTTTTTTGTTTGTTTTTTTTGATACAGAGTCTCACTCTGTTGCCCAGGCTAGAGTGCTGAGGTATCAGCCTAGCTCACAGCAACCTCAGACTCCTGAGTTCAAGCAATCCTCCTGCCTCAGGCTCCTGAGTAGCTCGGCAACATCAAAACTCAGCAGGGACTACAAGCATGCGCCACCATGCCCTGCTAATTTATTTATATATATATATATATATATATTTTTTTTTTTTTTAGTTGTCCAATTAATTTCTTTCTATTTTTAGTAGAAATGGGGTCTCGCTCTTGCTCAGGCTGGTTTCGAACTCCTGACCTTGAGTGATCTGCCTGCCTTGGCCTTCCAGCGTGCTAGGATTACAGGTGTGAGCCACTATGCCCAGCCTGGATGTCCATTATACGACTTTATGACCATATATATCTCTGTTTAGCTCCCACTTATAAATGAGAACATGTGGTATTTGTTTTTCCATTCCTGAGATACTTCACTTAAGATAATGGTTTCTAGTTCCACCCAAGTTGCTGCAAAAGACATTATCTCATTCTTTTTTATAGCTGAGTTGCACTCCATGGCATATATATTTTCTTTATCCACTCATCAGTTGATGGGCACTTAGGTTGATTTCACATCTTTGCAATTGTTATTATGCTGTGATAGACATTCACGTGTAAGTGTCTTTAACAAGTCATAAAATGACTTCTTTTCCTTTGGGTAAATCCCCAGTAGTGGGATTGCTGGATTGAATAGTAGGTTTACTCTTAGTTCTTTGAGGACTCTCCATACTGTTTTCCATAGACGTTGTACTAGTTTATATTCCTGCCAGCAAGGTATAAGTATAACCCTTTTCACCGCATTGGTGCCAACATCTATTGTTCTTTGACTTTTTACTAATGGCCATTCTGACAGGAGTAAGGTGGTATCTCATTGTGATTTTAATTTGCATTTCTCTGATGATTAGTGATTTTAAGCATATTTTCATGTTTGTTGGTCTGTCCTTTTTTTTTTTTTTTTTTTTTTTTTTTGAGACAGAGTCTCGCTTTGTTGTCCAGGCTAGAGTGAGTGCCGTGGCGTCAGGCTAGCTCACAGCAACCTCAAACTCCTGGGCTCGAGCGATCCTTCTGCCTCAGCCTCCCAAGTAGCTGGGACTACAGGCATGCGCCACCATGCCCGGCTAATTTTTTATATATATATCAGTTGGCCAATTAATTTCTTTCTGAGACGGGGTCTCGCTCTTGCTCAGGCTGGTTTTGAACTCCTGACCTTGAGCAATCCGCCCGCCTCGGCCTCCCAGAGAGCTAGGATTACAGGTGTGAGCCACCACGCCCGGCCTTGTCCTTCTTTTGAAAAACAATTTGTTCATGTCTTTTGCCCACTCTTTGATGGAAGAATTTATCTAAAATTGGCTCATCTATCAATCTTTTTCTTATAATTAATTATAAAATGTTTTAATTTCATGGATATCTTATTTTTCTTTTGAGAAATTTAAAAATATTAGGACATTTACAAAATAATATTGCAAACATCAAGTACATGTTATGTAGAGTTGAAAACTTGTTAACATTTATCACATTTGCTTCAGGATAGATCTATAAAATAACAACACTTCTGGGTACAGTGGTGTGCCCCCATCATCTCAGCTACTTGGAAGACTGAGGCAGGAGGATCACTTGAGGCCAGGAGTTCAAGGCTGTGGTGGCAGTGTGATTGCTCTTGTGAATAGCCACTGCACTCTAGCCTGGGCAACACAGCGAGACCCCATCTCTGGAAAAAAAAATAGCAACACCATGAATAATAAAGTTTATCCCTCAACATCAGTCCTGTTCCTCTTCCTGTCTCTCCAGAGGCAAACATCACAATGAATTATGAATTTGATGTGTGCTACTGCATCATTTTTTTATACCTTGAACAACATATGATATTGTTTGTGTGTGTTTTCAGAATTAACATTAAATGGTTTCGTGCTCTCTGCACTGTCTGTAGCTTGTCTTTTTCACCTAATGTTACCTTTGGGGGATTTGTCCTTGCTGATACATGTACAGTGCTAGTTCAGTCCTACTGTAGGGTATTCCTGTAGCATGTTCCTTCTATGAAGGTGTCACATTAATAGATGTGTAGCTAGGTCTGTGGCAGTTGCACTACCATGTGGTAAGCACACACCCTCTTTTATTCATTTCCTTTTGTTGGACACTTAAGTTGTTTCTGGTTTTTCACTATTTCAAATAGTGCTATGGTGACCATCCTTCTCCATGCCTGTGTACCCAGTGCTGGCATTGCAGGGTAGCAGGGGTTGCATAGTTTAGTGGCACTAGATGAGGATCAGTTGTTTTCCCAGGTGACTATACCAGTTCACAAGTCTGCCAGTAGCCAGAGTAGTGGCTGCTGACACTTGAGAGCATCAGACTTTTTAATTTTGATCAGTCTGATAGGTTAGAAGTGGTGTCCTGTTATTTTCATTTTCCTGATTACTTGTGGGTCATGGTGGTGTTCCAGTAATGCTTGTTCTCCTGTTAATCCTGCCCTTCACTATGGGGAGATGCCTGATATTGGTGATCCTTGTTTTGTCTCTTTCCCCCTGGATCAGTTTTTTTAGGGTTTTATCAATTTTATCTTTTCAAAGAGCCAGTTTCATCTTTGTTGATTTTCTCTATTCTTCTGTTTTCTATTTCATTGATTTCTGCTTTTATCTTTATTTCCTTCATTCTTTTCTATTTGAGTTTTTCTCTTTTTGTAGCACCTTGAAATGGAAGTTTAGATCATTGGTTTTAAGCCTTTCTTCTTTAATGTATGTCTTTAAAGCTATGCTGCTTCTGATCACTGCTCTAGTGATACCTCACACATTTGAATACATTGTATTTTCATTATTCAGTTAAAATATTTTTAAATATGTCACAAGGGAAATTAGAAATTTCCTGGGCCCTTTGAAAGTATGTTGCTTAATTTCCAAACATTTTGGAAATTTTACTCATCTCTTTGTTATTTAATTTAGCTTTTTTTTTTTTTTTTTTGAGACAGAGTTCTCACTTTTTGTTGCCAGGCTAGAGTGAGTGCCGTGCGTCAGCTAGCTCACAGCAACCTCAAACTCCTGGTCTCAAGCGATCCTCCTGCCTCAGCCTCCCGAGTAGCTGGGACTACAGGCATCAGCACACCATGCCGGCTAATTTTTGTATATATACTTTTTAGTTGTCAATTAATTTTCTTTCTATTTTTTTTAGTAGAGACGGGGTCTCGCTCAGGCTGGTTTCGAACTCCCGACCTTGAGCAATCCGCCCGCTCGGCCTCCAGAGTGCTAGGATTACAGGCGTGAGCCACCGTGCCCGGCTTAATTTAGCTTTGATTACATTGGTTAGAGAACATGGCATACTCTGTAATTTCAATCTTTTTTTTTTTTTTTTTTTTTTTGAGACAGAGTCTCACTTTGTTGCCCAGGCTAGAGTGAGTGCCGTGGCGTCAGCCTAGCTCACAGCAACCTCAAACTCCTGGGCTCAAGCAATCCTCCTGCCTCAGCTCCCCGAGTAGCTGGGACTACAGCATTCGCCACCATGCCCGGCTAATTTTTGTATGTATATTAGTTGGCCAATAATTTCTTTCATTTATAGTAGAGACAGGGTCTTGCTCTTGCTCAGGCTGGTTTCAACTCCTGACCTGAGCAATCCACCCGCCTCGGCCTCCCAGAGAGCTAGGATTACAGGCGTGAGCCACCGCGCCCGGCCTGTAATTTCAATCTTTTGAAGTTTGCTCAGGCCTGCTTTATGGCCTAGTCAGATGGGCTAATTTGGTGAATGTTCCATGAATACTTGCAAAGACTGAATTTTGTAACTGCTGGGGGTACTGTTTTATAAATGTCATTAAGGTCAAATGGGTTATTAGTATTGTTCAAATCTCTATATCTTTTCTGATTTTTTTGTCTACTTGTTCTATTAACTATTCAGAAATCTCTACTATGATTGTGGATTTGTCTGATTTTTCTTTTGGTTCTGTTACTTTTTGCTTTATATATTTCAGTCCCTATTGTTGGGTCCATATATTTAGGATAGTTTTTGTTTTCTGGGTTAACTGATCATATTTCTATAAAATCTTTCTTTTTACTTGTTAAATACTCCTTATCTTGAATATGCTTTTCCTTATATTAATGTAGCCCTACGAGATTCCTTATGGTTAGTGCTTACATGGAGTGTGTGTGTGTGAGAGAGAGAGAGAGAGAATCTATATATGTATTTTTCCTCAACTTACCTTGAGTTTTTATATTTAGAGCATTTCTCCTATAAAGAGCTAATTGGATCTAGCTCTTAGATCTTGTTTTTTTCTCTGTTAGATAATTTCTGCCCTTTAATTGTCTGTTAATTAATGATTACATCTAACATCTTGCTGTTTGTTTTATTTTTGTCACATTTCCATTTCTTTGTACATTTCTCCATTCCTGCCCTCTTTTGTGTTAATAAAGTAGTTTCTATAATTCCACATTATCTCCTTTGTTCACTTGTTAGCTGTACCTTTTTATATCATCTTAGTGGTTCCCAAAGAATTGTGATAAGCATCTTTAATCTAGTCCAGTCTTTTTTTTAACCACTTCACAATGTGAAAATCTTACAAGTTAGTTACATTTACCAGCTCTGTATTTTGTGCTATTGTTGTAACATTTTTTAATTCTACATATGTTATAAGCTCTATAATAAATTGTTGTTGTTATTGCTACTTTATGCTATCAAACATCCTTTTTATAAGTATAAGAAACAGTCTTTTGTGTTTTTCCACATCTGTCCTTGTCTGAGGTCTCTCTGGCCCTGCATTCTGTGTGTCCATATCGGGTCATTTCCCTTCAACCCAGACAACGTACTTTTGCATAATATTTAGTTTTGTGAGTCTGGTTTTATTCAGCCTTGGTTTGAATAAAAATGTGTTTTGCCTACATTTTTGAATAATATTTTAGCTTGATAAGGGATCTTAGATTTGCATTATTTTTTCTTTCAACACTTTAAAGATGTCATTATGTTGTCTTCCTCCATCCATTGTTTCTGATAAGGAGTCAGCTGCGTTTTAGTGTTGTTCCACCAAACAGAATATATTCTTTTTCCCATTGGCTACATTTAAGAGTTTCTGATTTCTTTTTCTTTTTGGTTTTCAGCAGTTTTGTTTGTATTTATCCTACTTGATGTTAGTTGAACTTCTTGAATATGTGAGCTGGTGTTTTTTTGTTAATTTTGGAAACATTTCCACCATTATCTCTTCAGTTATTTTTTCTGCCTCATCTTCTCTCCTCTGTTTTTGGGACTGTGCTTACACTGTTCTCTTGTGTGTCTCATGCTCTGTTATCTTTTTTCCCATTCTTTTTCCTTTTTGTGCTTCAGTTCAGATAATTTCAATTCACCTGACTCTGAGTTTACTGATTCTAAACAAAATAACTGGGAAAACAACATATTTGCAAGAAATGTTTGCTCAAGATCTCAGATAAGATCTATATTATTCAAGTAGTTCTTCCAATCTGCCAAACAGAATAATGGGCAAAATAAAACAAAATAAAGAGGCAGTTTATAGAAGAGCAGATCCAAGCAGGCAGAAAACGTGTGATAAGGTAGTAGGCAGGGAATGGGTACTGAGTAACTGCAAAATACCACTTTACACCTATGGGGACAGTGGTAATGAATACTTGTTGCTGCCGAGTATTCATGTGTGAAGTGTGGGTGTTACACCCTTTATGGAAAGAAAAGGACATGGTTGAATAAACAATACACTTATCCTTTAACCCTGGTGGTCCCATAGAAATGAAATGTCATTGCATTTGGGTGTCGTGTACAGGCTGTGAATGTTGCAGCTTTGTTCATGGTGGTAGAAAAGTGGACACTGGCAGAAAGCCCATCTGTGGAGGGTGGCTGAAGAAGCAAGCAGATTTCCTACATGAATAGTGTGTAGCCACAGAAAATAGTGAGTGAGAGTCCTAACTCCACAAGGTATTGTGTAAGAAAAGCAAAATAGAAGGGTCTGTTGTGCCCTTTACAAAAAACATACTATGTTAGGTGAAAAACCCATCGTGTGTGTGCGTGTGTGTGTGTGTGTGTGTGTCCGTGACGGCGTGTGGGGACGGTGTGGAAGGTACACGCCAGGTGCTGGGGCCTGGAGAGGGCAGAGAGCGGTGATGATGTGGGCGGGGCCCACTGGAGCTGAGAGGGTGATGGTGCCCTGCACGTCACGCTAATGGAAGAGAAGGAGCAAAGGGCACCACAGCAATTAGCAAAATACCAAAGGTGTTTGACCACACTAGTCATCAGAGGCGAATGGAAGAAACGAAGAGGTTTTTACTGTCAGGTTGGCAGAGATTGGCAAGATCGATGTCTCCTGTGATGAGGGTGCAGGATGGTGGGTAGGTCACTCTCACCAGTCTCAGGAGCAGCCTCTCTGGAGGGCATCTGGTCATAAATTGTGCATAGTCCTGACCCATCAGCTTCACATTCTGGAGTTTATCCTAAAAAACTATCGCGGACACCCAGAATGATTCCTGTGTAAAAAGGTTCATCTTGACAATTTATAATAGTAAACACCGAAAACAGTGTAAATGTCCAAACTAGGAGAGTGGATAAATAAGTTATGATAAGTCATAGACTGGGATACTGTGCAGGTATTAAAGGTGTGGTGTTTAGAAGTGTTTTTCATAATGGGAAATGTTCAGAATTTCCAAAGAGACAGAAACAAGGCACAAGCAGTGTTGTGTGAATCCAACAGATGCCCTGTGGCACGTGTTATATGAACACTTTTTAAAAGTCTGAAAAGATAAATTCCCATGTGTTAACATTAGCTCTGATCAGTGAAGTTATAGGTGGTTTTAATTTTTGTGACTTTTGTGTTTTTTCATATTTTCTAAAGTAAACATGAACTACTTTTATGTTTAGGAAAGTGTGTGTAAAATGTATGTATTGGGACGGAGCTGCCCCACTGAACTGGAGTGTGTGTTGGAGGCTCTGCCAGCCCAGCATGTCTGATCTGATGGACTGTGGAGGGGGAGGGGCTCTTCTGGGCTCTGAGCAGCTGGTGGGTCCCAGAGGAGGCCACCCAAGGGCAGTGGAGGTTTGTGCCACGGCACCAGCGCCTTCCACAGGCCTCTGGCTGTGCCCGCCTGGGACGGTGGGCCCCAGCTCTGTCTTCAGGACTGACGAGGCCCCCAGAGCCTTCCTGCAGGCAAGGTTATCACTGTGAGGTGGCCTTGCTGGTGAAGGTCAAGGGTTCTTACCAAATAGATGCCAGTGGTGCCTCTTTCTGGCTTCTTCCTTTGACATTCTCTTTAGGATGCAAATCATTTCTTTTAGAGATGTAAAGCAAAGCCTTTGATTATGCCAGTGAAGATGACCCAGATCATTTGCACAGGACATACTTGGTCACATGAACCTTCATTTGATATTTGAGACCATCCTAACAACCTAGCCAAAAAAAAAAAGAAAAAAAGAAAGCTCCACAGTCCTTTCCTTGTGCTTTGCTTGGCTTGAAGCAGGAAGAAGCCCCTGTTGAATTCGGCCAGGAGGAGCTTCTGCAGGGGCCAGTGCAGCCGGAGGAGTTCGTGGCCATCGCGGACTATGCCGCCACCGATGAGACCCAGGTAGGGTGTGCGGCAGGCCCAACTTACAGGTTTCAGCATGCTCAAGGCCGAATTAGACATGAATTTTGCATAAGTCATACCAAAGTTAAGCGTTCCAATGTTCAGAGCTACCCCTGCCCTGTGCGCGACGATGTCCCAGCCTCACATGCATGACCTCAGCGTGGTGTGAAGACACCTAGGTGAGGCATGGGCACCCCCCATGGGCAGGAAGCACCTGTCCTGGGTTCTGCTTGGAAACCTTGATTTAGAAAGTACTCAGTTAATGAAAAGTAAGGCTATCAAAAATATCTGCTTGAATGTGGCTGTTGTCACTTTGCAACAGAAATTTCTTAGGGTTAGCCTCCAGTAACTAAACAGGCTGTGGCAGAATTGAGCTTTAACTGCAAAGAGGCTGTTGGGAAATTCTGTCCTGAGCCATTGGGAGTGTTTACTCTTTCTTTCAGGAAATACTGTTTTAAGCTGTGCCCTTCCTTCAGGTGGATATTCCACAAAAATCCTTAAATCTTGGTGTCACTTTCATAAGCTGCCAGATGCTGTAATTACCCACTGACTCCTTTTTGAAATTGCTGGGATTTGGTCACCACTGATGCGGGGATTTGTCACTGAGCCATACTTGAAATACCAAGTGCTGATTGTTCTATTGAATTTTAACTTCCTTTTTTCTTTTCTTTTTTTTTTTGCAGCTCAGTTTTATGAGAGGAGAAAAAATTCTTATCCTGCGACAGACCACTGCAGATTGGTGGTGGGGTGAGCGTGCGGGCTGCTGCGGGTACATTCCGGCAAACCATGTCGGGAGGCCGCTGGAGGAGTACGACCCTGAGGACACCTGGCAGGACGAAGAGTACTTCGGCAGCTACGGGACTCTGGTATGGCCTTGGGCCAGCGGGCGGGTTCTTCTCTCTGCCTTCAGGCTCTGACTTTTCAAAAATAAGCTCTAGGCTTGTTGTCCTAGGTTAGGCCAGGTGCGCAGGTCTGTGGCAGGTGCGTGAAGCAGCGGGCGTGGTTGTGTGCCAGTGAAACTTATTTATGGATACTGGAATTTAGATTCCATTCAGTTTTCATGTGTCATAAAGTCGTCTTCTTTTGATTTTTAAACATTACTTAAAAATCTAAAAGACATTCTTAGTTTGGAGGCCATATAAAAACAGGTAGTGGCTGGACGTGGCCCACGATCTGTGGTTTGCTGACCCCTGGTCTACAGGTATTATTTGAGCAATGGGATTACATGCTTCTCAGTATTTAAAACAAGGAGTACTTTTTCTTTGGATAGTATGCTTGCATTTGTGTTTTAGAGCCAAATATTCCAATTTTTCCCAGAGCTACCAATATACAACATGTTTTTACAATAAGTTTGTTCATGTTGTTATACAGCTTTCTTTTCAAACTCTTTTTCATTCACTGAAAGAAAGCAGATTATAATGCATCTTTTAGAAAAGTATGCTTATATTTGTATTTTATGGCTGGGTATTCCAAAAAACAAGTAATAAATTTTACTGTAAAAATTAAATAGAAAAAAATATATGTCAATGATCAATAAGACTTCTAAACAGCCAGTTTATTAGTGTTTCCCCTGCTATGCAGAAAGGCTATAATCTGGTGGCCCAGGCAACAGGCCCTGTTTACATGTTAAGATAAGATGAAAGTAGTTACTTGCCCGGTGAATGCTGCAAAAATAATGTGGAGTGAAAGAAGGAATAATATATAATATTTGACTCAATTTTATAAAGTTAAGGGGCAATGTTGAAAGGTGGTGTTTATTAATGTGCATGAGTGGTCTGAGGGCAGGAACCTGGAGTCCCGAGAGTCTGGATGGGGGTTACCTGTTGGGGGGTTACCTGGTAGAGAGAAGTTACCTGTTGGAGGGAAGTTACCTGTTGGAGGGAGGTTACCTGTTGGAGGGAAGTTCTGTGTTGGAAGGAGGTTACCTGTTGGAAGGAGTTTACCTGTTAGAGGGAGGTTACCTGTTGGACAGAAGCTCTGGACCAGCCTTACTTGGGTGAGGAGTCTGGGATGCTAGCTGTGTTTGGGTGTGTGTTACACAGGTGTTTGCTATATAACTATGTTTGATAAACTATAGGTACTTTTTAATACACTTTTTCTAGGCACGCCTTATTTCCCAGTTAAAAATGTTATATTAAAAATCACTAATGTATATACGTGGTTAGAGCTTTTAATCGTTAAGGAAAGATACGTAATGAAAAGCCGAAGTCCACTTCCCCGCTCTGCAACCCTGGCCCAGAGATGGCCACCACCCACTGAGGTTCCCATGTGCCTGTGCCATATCCAAGCAACACCTCTTTTATTTTTAAAAATTTATGGAAGAGGAATCATTGCACACACACAGGTCTTTACCTTGCCCTTTCACAGTTGTGTTATCTTGAAGATATTGGTACTGGTCGTTCTTTGTAACAGCTGCAGAGCCTTGTGTTGTTTTGGAAGGATCGTGTTGGTGGACAGTGGTTATTTAACAGGTTTTTATCATGACAAGTAACCTTGTAATGGAATCCTATGTAATCCTGTTAACCTTCTGTTAGAATTTCCATAGGGTAAATTCCTAGGGTATAAATATATACATGTGTGCGTATTTCCTAGTAGATACATATACACATATATATATTTTTTCTTTCTTTCTTTAGTGGATCTTGACAATTTGCCTTCCAGAAAGATTTGGTAATCATGCACTGTCTTGGTTTGTGCTTCTATAACAAAATACCTCAGACTGGGTAAATTATAAAAAACAGAGATTCATTTCTGTTGTTCTGGAGGCTGGGAAGCCGCCGGCGCTGGGGGCCGGGTAGGCAAGGACAGAGACTCCCCACAGCCCTCTCGAGAGGGGGCAGGGCCCCACCTCTCAGTGCCATCACATCAGCTGTTAAATTTCAGCTCACGAACCTTGGGGCCATTCAGCCCATGGCCCATGCTGGCACGTGGTGTGCGAACTCACCATTCCCTACCATGGACCATCAGTGGGAACAGATTTCTGGTCTTGAAGGTGAAACGTGCTATGTCTTGATTTTGATTTCCATTTTTTAAGTGAGATTGATTATCTTTTATGTGTTTGTTGATCTTTTATATTTACTTTTGCGTAAACATTCATATGGTTTGCCCATTTTTCTTATTTCTGTTGATTCATATTGAATCAGTTTAGTTGAAGTGGTTTGGCCTGAATTTGTGACGAGAGCTGCACTCACTACTTGCCACTCTCTTTTTCCTACATAGAACTTTTTATCTTTGCACAGTCTGGTATGTTTTTCTTTTCTTTGTGGCTTCTGGGTTTTGTGTCCCGATTTGAAAGACCTTCCTCACGCCAAGATTACAAATATCTATACTTTCCTTTAGAACTGTTAAGATCCTGTATTAAACAGTGGGGTATTTTAATCAATGTGGAATTATTTTTATAAAGAATAAGGTAAAATTCCTCCTTAACTCACCTCCACAAATACCCAGCGCTCCCAGCATCTAGATAGTTTCTAATACCTAGAAACATTCCTAGATATTTTCCACTCATCATTACTGCTGTAGGGTTGGGAACTACCCTGCAGGAGTGGGTGGCGCCACGAGGTGGCCGGGGACTGCGGCCTTCCCTGCCCATGGTGATTTTCTGGCTACTCCTGTCAGGTGCTGAGAGCAAGATGTTGAATTCTGTGACTGTAATTGTCCATCTGTGTATTTCTTCTTACCTGTCTATTGGATTTTACTCCGTGTATTTAGAAGCTCTGTTATTAGGTATAAAAATAGTTAGAATTGTTACGTCCTTTCAATGGGTCGATTCCTGTGTCACGAGCCTCTTGGCCCTGGGAGTGCTCTGCCCTGAGCTTCACGTAGCCACCCCAGGTTTCTTTCAGTCAGCGTTAGCAGGGGCTGCCTTGCCGTCCTTTTGCTGTCAGCTAGGTGGTTGGGCCTCCCCTTTTGTCCACTCCTCTCACCTCCCTTTGTTCTTCATTCCACGGTGTCTTTGTGAGGCGCCTCCATGGGCTCCTGGCCCCTGCAGAACACCTGTGGGGGGCTCCTGGGCTCTGCGCCCGCCTGCCGTTTGTCTGCCCTCAGGAGGCGCTGTCGGGATTGCTGCAGCCTGCGGTGCGGGATGGTGCCGCAGCCAGGGGCTCTGGCCACTGCCACTGCCTTGCCGGCATCCTCTGCCTCCTGGGCAGGCTGACCCTCAGGTTGGCATCCCAGGGTTTCGGGTGTTTTACTCAGACTTGTCGCTGAGGGTTGGCCCCGGGCTGCCATTCCGGCTTGTGTGTGAAGACAACCTTGGTGGTCCAGCTCACATCTCCCAGTATCGCCGTGGCACGTGTGCTGTTTGCCCTGTTGGACACCTGGCCCAGGGTGTCTGGTCAGCACACGGCGGCCACTCCTGCCTCTGGTGGGCGGGTGGGCCGGTGGAGTGATACCCCAGTCCTGATGGGTCCACCCCAGCTTCACTGCTCATCTGGCTCTCGGAGGTGCAGGGAGAATCTGCAGCCAGTGCCAAGCTGAACTGGAGGGATTCCAGAGACTTCTATTTCATTCCTTCACTGTCTACTTTCATTTTTATCTGTTGGCATATTTTGATGTCTTGATTTTTTAAACCGAAAGACCATGTTTTGCTCTTGTCTGTTGCTCGTACTTTTAGATGTGGGTTGGGCATCCACTGCGGCCCTGACCTTGCGTCTCTAGCCAGCACTGGGCACAGATCCGGGACACAGGCAGTGATTCCCAACCTGTGTTTCCTCTAGAAACTCCACTTGGAAATGCTGGCAGACCAGCCACGAACCACTAAATACCACAGTGTCATCCTGCAGAACAGAGAGTCCCTGAAGGACAAAGTCATCCTGGATGTCGGCTGCGGAACTGGGATCATCAGCCTCTTCTGTGCGCACCACGCCCGGCCCAGAGCGGTGAGTGGGCGAGCGCGTCTGTGAGCGGGCGAGGGGCCTGACGTGGCCCCAAGCACTGCTGGGGACTCGCCGGAGAGTCGCCCGTTCACGGGGACTCAGTGAGTGTCCTCATGTGCGGGGCTCCGTGTCGCTGAGCTGGGCATCCGCTGAGACTGCAGGCCGAGCCCCTTTGGGGCTGTGGTGCCATTTGACAAGCCACAGGCAGCACCAGGGGGAACAGGGCGGAATGGGAAGTCTGAGTGAGTCACACAGGGTGGGATGTATCTGTGAGATGTTTGTTTCGGTTACACAGACACAGGTGCGGCCTCACATCTGCTGGGCTGTGTGTGAGGGTGGCCTCCCTTCTTCCCTGCCCCCTGCCCATCTGCGCTGTGCTGAGGTTCAGCCTCAAGGGGCTCCTGGCGCCGTGTGAGGTCACAGCACAGCGACCACGGCCCAGGATGCAGGACTCGGGCACCTTCTCTGAGAACCTCGACTTGAAATCGTCTCCCAGGCGGCAGATGCCCCAGTAGACTGGCGGTTCCAGCAGGTGCCGAGAGCCCACGATGCGGTTGTGGGTTGTGTTTGCTCCATGTGGAAATCGGGCCGCAGGAGGCTCTGTCCACCTGCAGCCCCATGTCTGCGTGTTGTGAGGGGGTGCGGGAAGCAGGCAGGGTCAGAGAAGCTCCTTTCTCGGCACTGTCGGGGTGCAGAGCTGTGCGTGGCCGGCAGCAGGCGTGGCCTGGCCTCACTGTCCGCCGCCGTGGGAGTGCTGCTTCCTTCTGTGTGGTTGACTGCTTTTTGGTGCTGGTTGTGACTCGAGAAGAGATGACAGGGGCCGTTGCAGGGGCTCAGGCGTGTACTGATGGCGCTTCTGCCACTGCAGGTGTACGCGGTGGAGGCCAGCGAGATGGCCCAGCACACAGGGCAGCTGGTCCTGCAGAACGGCTTTGCCGATACCATCACCGTGTTCCAGCAGAAGGTGGAGGATGTGGTGCTGCCCGAGAAGGTGGACGTGCTGGTGTCCGAGTGGATGGGGACCTGCCTGCTGGTAAGCGCTAGGGTCGGGGGTGGGGTGGGTAAGGGTTAGGGTCTAGAGTGTGGGTTAGGTGAGGGTGGGTGGGTTAGGTGAGGTTGGGTGGGTTAGGATGAGGTTGGTGGTTAGGGTGAGGGTTGGGTGGGTTAGGTAGGGTTGTGTGGTAGGTGAGGGTTGGGGTGGGTAGGTGAGGTTGGTGGTTAGGGTGAGGGTTGGGTGGGTTAGGGTGAGGTTGGGTGGTTAGGTGAGGGTTGGGTGGTTGGGTGAGGGTTGGGGTGGGTTGGGTGAGGTTGGGTGGTTAAGGTAGGGTTGGGTGGTTAGGTGAGGGTTGGGGTGGTTAGGGTGAGGGTTGGGTGGGTTAGGGTGAGGGTTGGGTGGGTTAGGGTGAGGGTTAGGGTTAGGATTGGGGTGGGGGTGGGGCTGTGGGTCAGGGCCATGGCCTTCTGAATACAGGCACTGCTGGCCAGCTTCAGGGATCTTCAAAAATCATGATTAAGTTTGATATTTTTCTTAAGGTGAGGTATCCATTTCTCATATGGACATTAGCCCAGTGTCTTGAATTTTTAACAGATTAAAAAGTCTTTCATGAGAAATTTAAATCCGAGTTCATGTAACTTTCTCATGGGTGATTAGCTGTTTTCTCCTGGGAGCCTTACAAGTCCATGCTTAGCACAGGAGGCTGTGTCTTTCAGGCCAGCAGGCCGGGCCAGGGATGCTGTGAGGGCCGCAGTTGTGCAACCGTGCCGGGCACTGGCGGCCTTCCCTGCCGTGCGCTCTGTGTCCCATGTGTGGGTGAGGGACCATTCTCTGGTTGTTTGCCGGCCTGTCACCAGTTCTGTCAGCCTGGAGGTTGAGCGATGCACTGCTCGGCGTCTGGGATGGCTCCATTCAGTTCAAGGAAGAATAAAGAATTTAGGCCAAAATCATCACCAGATTATGACCAATTCTCTAAACAAAAGAAATGAAGTAATTGCCAAGGTTACCAAAGATGGAATAGTTCTCCTCACAAGGCCTACTGCTGTGTTGCTGATTGCATGTTTAAAAATCCTGAGCTCAACCAAAATCTTTGTAAGTAAACCCATCAAAACAGGCATTTGGCCAATAAGAATTTAATTTTATGCCAGTAAAAGCGTGGACTTTAGATTTATTTAGGACAGTTTGTGCGTATTTACAGAATATTTAGTTTACTCTAAAAGATGACAAGACCCTACCCTAAACATATTTGCTTCATTCAGACGGCAAGAGGGTTAGTCCAAGCGGAAGCTCTCAGTTGTGGCACGAGTGGTGACCCCCAGGCGCCCCGAGCAGGCCCAGTTGAGTGTCCACCCAGCGTTTCCGCAGAAGGAGCCAATTTAGGTCTCCTGGCCCATTCAGGTGATGTGTGTGTTTTTTGCCATGAAATTTCTTTTCACTGGGTCCTGGGAGCTCTTGTAGGCCATTCCGCTTTTCAGAATTGCCAGTGCCGGTGCCCACGGGAAAGAAAACATCGACCCTTCCTTTCCAGACTCCTCAGTCTCACGGCTGGCATCCCATGAGGTGCAGCGAGTCCTCCTGAGGGGTCGTCCTGAGGGGCTGCGGCTGCACCTGCAGCTCTAGCTAGGGTCCCTCACCTGCGGTGCCGCACTTTTGCCTGCACCAAACAGCCGCCGCCTTCTTTTCTTGAGTTCTTCCTGTGCAGAGCGTTTCTGAGCTTTCCCCTCACAGGAGCTGCGCGCTCTGCCGGCTCCTCGCATCCCTCAGGCAGCTTTGCCCTGGGAAAGCGTCCTCACAGCGGCAGAGCCCAGAGACCAAGCACCAGAAATTTTTACATGAATTGTCCTAAGAAAGTATACTAATAGATTTGTATAGAAATTTATGTTAAAAATTTTCATGACAACACCATTTACAATGGAAGACAATTGGAAATAAGAGAAATAATTATCGCCGTCCATATGATCATTAAAAGTTATGGTTTAGAAAGATTTTAACAATCTTAGGAAAAAGTTGATGACATGTTGTTGCTGGTTTTACAGGAAGCACAAAGATTATATATAGTATGACTCTAATTTTGTTCTTTTAAAATTATACGTAGCAATGACCTAGCTTCAATCCCAGCTAATCCTGCTGAGTGCAGCTATAAATCTGGGCAGGATGCAGCAAGAAGCTACTTTAGGCCTCTGAAAAATGGACAGTTGCAGGTACACTGGGGAAGACGCAGAATTTTGAGTACAGGCAACCCTACATTTCTGTGGTTCCATGACTGCGGATTTGACCAACTGTGGATTGAAAATACTCGGAGCAACCAAATAACAACATGACAAAATTTAATGCAAATAAAAAGCCAACACAGTATGACAACTATTTAAATAGCATTGACATTGTATTAGGCATTTTAAGTTATCTAGAGATGATTTAAAGCATAGGGGAGAATGTGCTTAGGTTATATACAAAAAATACCATTTTATATGGGGGACTTGGGCATCTGAGGATTTTGGTTTCTGAGGGATCCTGGAACCAGTCCCCCACGGATATTGCGGGACAGCTGTTTGTCCCCCATGGATACCGAGGGCTTGAGTTTGACATTTTCCCCATGTGTTTCTAATGCTGTACGTTAAGTTCAAAAACTTAGATGAGATGGACCAGTTTCTTTGGAAATTGCAATTACCACAGTTCTCCCAAGATGAAACAGCCCGATGAACGGTCCAGTAACTAATAAAGATACTGAATTCATACTTAAACTAATTAAGCAACCTTCTGAAAGTGAAATCTCTAGGCCTAAATGATTTCACTGGTGAATTCTACCAACGCATGTGAAGAAGACATAACTTCAATTCTGAACAGTTTCTTTCAGAACATACAAGAAGAGGGAATACTTCTTGGCTCATTTTATGAGGTCGGCATTGCCCTAATACCAAAACCAAAGTACACAATATGAAAACCACAGACCAATAACCCTCATGAGCAGAAATGTAAAAACCCTCAAGAAAACATTAGCAAATTTAGGGGCTGCAGCAGTAACCTGCAGCACAGGGACCTGTCCCCTTGGCGCCTGGGAGCTCATGGACTCGCCTGCCCAGTGCCCAGCCTTCTGGCACTGCACACCCCGCTCCGCATTCCCTGCAAAAGTCACCTCGGCTGCCCTTCCCCGCATCCCCCCCACACCGTGCACTCAGGCCAGGTGGGCAGCTGAGAGTCCCGAGAGGTGACTTCACCAAGGTACCCAGTGATGGGCGAAGGTCGGATGCTGAGAGCCCTGGCACCTTCAGTGGCAGGTCAGACGTGCCCAGCGAGACCCAGCTGCTCCAGAATCTGAAGAACAAGAAGAACAAAAACCTTCACCCACCCCCCAAACTCCCCAGCAAAACCCCACCAGGTCATCTGCTAGTGCTGAAAGAATGCAGAAACAGCCAGCTGAAATAACCCCGATTCTCTGCCGAACGGCAGTGCGGAGCCTGAAGGAGACAACATTTATGAGTGGAGATTGACTGGACCTGGCCCCCAGTTTCTGTATATGGGGTGGTGTGTTTTCTCTGGATGTCAAATGTTCATCAGATTATCCACTTCAGCCACCAAAGTTATCTCCTGCACCAGAACCTGTCACTGCAGTTGGGAGCCATTGTCTGAACATCCAAAGACAAGTGGAGTCCTGCTTTGACCATTTCAAAGGTTATCCCTTTTGACAGACCGCAGCCCTGCGGATCCTCAGGTGGAGCACAGCCACTCAGTGTTTAGCCAACAGAGCGGGACATGACCAAACAGCCAGGCAGTGGACCAGGAGACATGCAACTTGATGCACTTGGTTCGAATGCAGCGTGAGGGAGCAGAAGGTGTCTCCTCACTGTGTTTGGAATCCTTACGGACATCTGTGTGTGTGTTACACCGATTCTGCTCTTTGCTTTTATCCTTTGGAGCCTGGGAAACTCCCCAAAAAGGTAAATGTTGTCAAATATAGAACTTTGTAGCTGTCGATCAGTTACATTGAAAACACCCACTTGCAATTCTTGCTTCTCTGGGATGTCAAAATGTATTTTGTGATGTACTAGGGCTACAGGTCCTGAAGTCTACCAAACGTTATAGTGCATTTTAGCCTAATTCATTTTCTGTGTGAAGTTATAAAAGTAGCTGGTGATGACAAGGAATTATGTCATTGGTGTTAACCCCAGATCCACTTCTGAGTCTGTGGTTCATGCTGCTGTGAAAAGTGTTGTATATTACCTTTTACCTTTGTCCATTTGTAACAAGGGGCTTCCTTTTACCCTTGTTGCTCAGAACGTACCTGATGTATGATCTCAAATACAATAAACGTGCTCCTGAAATAAAAGAAAGTATTAGCAAATCTAATCTAGCAGTATATAAAAGGAGCAAGGCTGGTTCAATGTTTGAAAATCAATCAATGTAATCTACCATATTAACAGTCTGAAGAAGAAAAATAATGACTATATCAATTAATACAGACAGAATTTGACATCAGCTTATAATAAAGTTCTTAGCAAACTAGGAATGGAAGGAAACTTAATAAAGGACAACTACAAAAAACCTGCAGCCGGTATCATACTTGATGGTGAAAGAGTCAATGCCTTCCCCTAAGAGTGGGGACAAGGCATGGACATCCGCTGTTACCTTCCTGGAGCACCTACCAGGGCAAAAAAGGGAGAAGAAGACATAAACAGATTGAAAACAAAGAAACGAAACCATCCCTATTGCCAGATAACATGATCAACTTTATAGAAAATCCTAAGGAATCCACAAGAAAATTTCCTGAGACTAATAAGTGAATTTAGCAAGATTACAGAGTGAAGGTCATCATACAAGAGTCATACTTTTATATCCCAGCACTGTACAACAGGAAATAAAAATTAAACAATACCATTCACAGTAGCTCCAAAAATATGAAATGCTTAGATATGGAACAAAACATGTATAAGATCCATATACTGAAACTACAACATGCTGATGAAAGAAATCACAGAAGACCTAAATAAATGGAGAAATAGTTGACACACCAGAAGGCTGAACCTAGTAAAGATGTCTATTCTCAAATTGATCTGTAGACTTCATAAAACTCCAGCTAAAATCCAAGCAGGAACTTTTCTAGAGACATAGGCAAGCTCATTCTAAAATTTACATGGAGTGTTACAGGAACTGCACTGTGGTTTGGACGTGGTTTGTCCCCACCAGACCTCATGCTGACGTCTGGCCCCCAGCGTGGTGGTGGTGGGAGACAGGGCCTCTGGGAGGTGTTTGGGTGGTGAGTGGACCCCCACGAACATCTGAACACTCTCCCTCTCGGGTGAGTGAGTTCTTGTTGCTCCGTTAGTTCCTGCAGAGCTAGCTGATAAAAAGACCCCAGACCTCCCCTCTCTCTTGCTTCCTCTTGCCACATGATCTCTGCGTACGGAGGTTTCCTTCACCTCTGCCTTGAGCGGAAGCAGCCCGAGGCCCTCACAGGATGCCCCATCTTGAACTTTTCCCACCGTGAGCCAAATAAGCCTCTCTTCTTTGTAAATTACCCAGCCTCAGATATTCCTTTATAGCAACACAAAAACTAAGACAACTGGAATACCTGATACAATTTTTAAAAAGAAGAATAAAGTTGGAGGAATTATACTACTTGATTTTAAAGCTACAGTAATCAGGACAAGGTGGTATTAGTGATGGAACAGACAAGTCAATGGAAGACAGAGAAATAGATTTCTACAAATATGGTCAACTGATTTTTAACAAAGTCATAAACATTCAGTGGAGAAAAGATAATCTTTTGAACAAATTATATTGGAATAGTTGGCATCCATATCAAAAAAATAAAAAAGGCCAAAAACCTCAACCTGAACCTTACAACACTTAACACAAAATTGATCATAGATCTAGGTCTATGAAATATAAAACAATAAAATTTTATTTATCTATTTTTTTTCCTTTTTTCATGAGGCTCTTTAGAGTACAAAAACTATAAAATTTTAGAAGAAATCATAGCAAAAAAATCTTCATGACCTGGACTTAGGCAAAGAATTTTTAGGTGTGTCTTTAAAAGCATGATCTATAAAAGAAAAAAAACTGATAAATTGGATTTCATCGAAACAAAAAGTGGCTGCTCTGCAGAGGACAGAGTTAGGAGAATGAAAAGACTGTTAGAAAATCTTGCAAATAACATAGCCAGTGGGTGTCCTGAACATACAAAGAACTCTCAAAACCCCACAGGGAGCAAAGAAGCCAATTAGAAACAGGCAAAACCTTGAGCAGACACCACCAGCCTGGGTATGCCAGGTAAGCAGGTGATAAGAGGTTCACATTAGCAGCTTTCGGGGAAATGCATATGAAAGCCACACTGAGCTATCAATCACACCTCTTAAAGCTTGGCTAAAATTTTAAAAAATTCTGACAATACCACATGCTGGTGAGGATGAGGAGCACGTGAAAGTTATCCATGGCTGGTGGGACTGTGCCGCTGTGGAAGACAGTTGGTGGTTTCTTACAGAGTCCTGTGTATACTCACCTGTGACCAGCAGTCCCACTCCCGGGTGTTCACCCAGCTGAAATGCAGCTGTGTTTGCCAAAAAACGGGAAACAACCCAAGTGTCTTTCACCAGGATGGTCCTCGAAGTGAATTGGTGTGTCCACACAGGGGACACTGCTGAGCAGGAAGTGGACAGACTGTTGAGACAGGGGGGCCCCGGAGGACCCCAGAGACAGCTCACCGAGCAAATCTCGAGAGGTTCACACTGTACAATCCCGTTTACAGGATGTCTCAGACAGAACCACAGGGATGGGGACAGATGTGTGGTTTCCAGAGGTGGGTGGGGAAGGAGGGTGAGGACAGTGTCTTGGGCGGTGGGGCTGTGTCCTGGCCATGTGTCCTGGCTACGACTGTGGGATGCAAATTCGTGCAAAGTTGTGCACCAAAAAGACCAGTTTCAATAACTGAAAAAAAGTTTAAATTATATGTATGTATTTTTCTATGTGTTTGTGTTTGTGTGCAACTGTAGAAAAATACTTGAAAATAAAGCACAGTGATAACAATGGTTCCTTCTGGGTGCCAGGTTTACTTGCAATTTGTATTTTTGTTTGTGTATTTCTGACTGTTTTAAATTTTCCATACTGAACATGTATGACTTACGTAATTTACCCTGCTTGAGATTATTTAAGAAAAGCAAAACTCTTCTGCTGGGATGAAGTGCAAGCGCCCAGGTGGCTTGGGAGGGTCTCTGGCCTCACCTCCCCTCTTCCCCCTCCCCCCCACACCTCCCACTTCTCTCTGCATTGGAAGCAAGTTCTGTTTCAGACAGAGCGTGGCCTCCTGGCCGTCCAACTTACTCAGCTGTGGACGTGCCTCGCTTACCTGGAGGTGGGGCCCTCTGTGCCGCCAGAGCAGGAGGGGCAGCTGCTTCTGCCCTGAGCACACGCAGACGGCCAAGCCTGCGTGGTTTGCAGGTTTTAAAGGAGTGATTTCAGTCAACTTAAGGGGTTGTGAACATTCTCACAGCACCCAGACCAAACTGATTTTATTTAAGTTAGAACCTGCAACACACAGGGGCTCTTTCGAAGTCTGGTAGCTGCTGACTCCTGAGTGGCTGAGCTAGGACAAGAGCGAAGGTTTCTCCTCGCCTGTAGCCTGCTCCACTCTCAGTTCTGAGGGAAATGCTGTGACTTAAGCCCCAGCTGGGGGACGCGTGGATGCCTCATGCGTGGACGTAGTGAATGAACAGATCCCTGCTGACACTCTCGTGTGGTCGGCTGGCCTGGCCGGGAGTGTCCTCGGGGTGATGTCCTGAGCATCGGGGCCTCAATGGTGTGTCTCCTCCATGTGTCTCCTTCCCATGCAGTTTGAGTTCATGATCGAGTCGATCCTGTACGCTCGGGACGCCTGGCTGAAGGAGGACGGGGTCATCTGGCCGACCACGGCCGCGCTGCACCTCGTGCCCTGCAGTGCCGACAAGGACTACCACAGCAAGGTGCTCTTCTGGGACAACGCCTACGAGTTCAACCTCAGCGCTCTGAAGTAAGTGTCTGCAGCGGGGCCGCAGCGCCTGTGGGCCTCCGGCATCTGCCAGGGACAGGCAGGTCCTGGGCGGGTAGGGCTTGCTTGGGGCCGGGAGACTTCACGCACAACGCTGCCTGTGCCTCTCTGCGTGTCTCCGTGCTTTCTCAAGGCAGTCCTTCGCTCCTCTGTGGAAACAGTCACTCTTGTTTTAGGGAGACTGTCATCGTGCACCTGGTGCCCAAGTACAACCTCAGCATCCTGCTGAGGTTTCCCGCTTGGCCAGTGAGGCGGTTCTTGCAGGGGAGCCTGTTGGCGTGTCCGCACCCAGCCCCTGCATGCTCCTGGGGGAAGATTTGGGGTGCGAACAGCCTGGGGGGAGAGAGCCGCACCGTGAAAGTCGCAGGTGTTTCCAAGGCAGAATAACTGGGCTCTGTTGTGGAACGTGTGTGAAGCTGATCTAAATTCACCACCTGCCTAAGAACTTTGCATGTTGCTTTTAATACCTTCAAACTGTAACAGATGTGATGGGAATTAAAGTGTCTTTTGTAATCTAGGTTCCCAAATAGAATGGGAAGAAGGTGGTGTTTATAAACGAGATCTTTAAAATGTGTGGGATAAAACACGTTTGTTCCCACTGAGAGCTATAAATTCTTAACGAGGATCAGAAAACGTGCTAGTGTTAATGTGATACATGTTTTGCAAAGAAAGTGATACTCCGAAATAGTGATTTCCTGGTTTGTAACATAGACACATTTGTATAGTTGAGCTTCAGCTCCAACATGAAATGATTTCCTCAGCGCTGCCTCTGCTGAGACAGGCAGTCAGACCGGTGCAGGAGGAACCCGGCATCCCCTGGGAAGTAGAGAAGGGGCCCTCATTCCTAATCACACAGAAAGTACAAGAACCTTCCAGTGCATTTAGTGAGGACCAGATGAGCCTGTACTGCTGACACGTGTGGGCGGGGAGTGGGTGGCAAAGTGTGGGGCCTTTGGGTCTTTTATTTTTTTATTAAAAAATCCAGAAAAAGATAGTAATGCAAAGGTATGGAATCTCCCAGTTCATACGTGGAATCACTGCAGCCTCAGTCAAAATGCCCAAGGCAAGAGTGGGGCCAGGTTCTCACCAAGGGGTTCTGTGGTTCATCTGGGAAAAAACGGTGAGAAGGGCTGGGGCACTTTGAAAAGGACCGTGGGGAAGTGCGTGTGCTCCCAGGTGGAGCTGGAGTGACCGACGGCATGTGCCTCGAGCAGGGTCAGGTGAGCAGACCAGGGTGGCACGTGGGGGACAGGAACCCTAGTGCCCGAGAAAGGCGGCACCAGTGAGGGCCAAGTCAGCTCGTCATTACGGGACACTTGATCAGTCCTTTGGAGAAAGTTCTTTCTTTTCTCACACCCTATGTTGAAACTTAATTCTGTGTGGATTTAAGAGTTTTGTGTTAAAACATCAACATCAACCACTGGAGACTGTGGGGTGTGCCACACTGACCCAGGTGGGGAAGAGGCAGCAGAAACGAAGGACGGGATAGACACTGGGCTAGAACTTATGGTATTTGGAAAAAATCCATTGAATGAATGAGTCAAAAAAAAAAATTTGACGAAGTCTTTGTGCCAGAAATCAGCAAAAACACAATTCTGAGAGGAAATAAGTAGGGAAAGTCACTTGCAGACAGATCTTAGAATCAATTAGAGAAAGGTGAATATCCAAATGAAATTATAGTAAATCACTTAAACAAGCAAATTATAAAAAAGAAATAAAATTACCAATAAATAATTGAAAAATTGGAACATTGTTGGTAGTTAAAATGCAAATTAAAACAAACGCTCTCTTGCTCACCAGAGGAGTGCAGACTAAGCTAAAATAGTGACATTGTACTAATGTGGAAGAGAAGTGCGTGCTGTGCTCACACCTTTTGAAACACCCAGGGTGTTTGTCATGACTTTGCCCTTTTCCTCTAGATCTTTGGCAATTAAGGAGTTTTTTTCGAAGCCCAAGTATAACCACATTTTGAAACCAGAAGACTGTCTCTCTGAACCGTGCACTATATTACAGTTGGACATGAGAACTGTGCAAATCTCTGATCTAGAGGTGAGAAAAAGCTGAATCGCTCCCTCCTTACGTTAAATAGGCAGCCTGGCATATCATAAACCTTCAGGGAATGCTGGGTGTGTATGTAACTAATTATATTTTTAATACAAAGTGAATTTATAAACCTTTTGCTATTGATTTTTCCATCCTTTTTCTCGATGTTTGTTCTATTCTGATTCTTTCGTATTTTTTCATCATTTTCTTTACAGTTAATGTCTTTAGCATCTTCAATTACTTTCAGATTTATGCTTAATATTCTCAGCATCTTCAAAATTAAATCCCATTTATCATGGTATTTGAATTAAAAAATTTTCCCAGTGTTCTTAGCTACGGTTGATGACAGACTGTTAGAAGTTGTTCCCCTAGTTTCTCTGTGGCCAGCGAGTGCGTGGGTCCTGGGCGGGTCCCAGTGGGTCCTGGGCGGTCCCAGGCATGTCCAGTGTGTATGTAGGACCTGGCATGCCTGGTGTGGATTAGTGGGCTCCGCAGGGAGCCAGGCAGGTGGTCCTCAGTCAGTCCTGGCTGTGGAGAGGCCCAGCTTCCGCACAGAGCTGGGTGCAGGGGGCGTCCGAGGGATGGGGCAGAACATGGGACAGTTGAAACCCAAACGGCTGGGAACCTTTTTGAAGATCTGCAGCATCTGAGCTGCATCTGAGCTGTGGGCAGCAGGTCTTAGTGGGGACGGTCCTGGGAGGGCCTCCCTGTGTTCTGAGGCTTTTAGGGCCAGAGTGCTGGGGGAGGCTGGCCAACCTGTTCAGACCCATGACCTTTTCCATGCACTTGACCCCAGACCATGCGGGGCGACCTGCGCTTTGACATCCGGAGGGCCGGCACCCTGCACGGCTTCACGGCCTGGTTCAGCGTGCACTTCCAGAGCTTGCAGGAGGGCCAGCCACAGCAGGTGCTCAGCACCGGGCCCTTCCACCCGTGAGTGTGGGGCTGGGGTTAGGGGGATGGGGATGGGAGGTGGGGTCAGGGTGGAGGGACAGGATGGGGCAGGGCATGGGGCCCCCCATGCACAGGGGGTGGGGGAAAAGGGGGAATGGGAGGGGCAGAAGCTGCACCCAGACCTGAGCAGCCTCCAAGGGTGTTTCCTGCCCAGCACCTTCTCCCTACACTGGGGGCCCCATAATGGGCCTGGGGTCTGGGTCGGGTCAGCTGCCCCTTTCAGCACCTGCCTGGTGACGTGAAGGGGGCCAGATCTCCAAGGGCTGCAGCCAGGTGGGATGCGGTGCTGGAACTCAGCCCTCCCCAGCATCCTGGTGTCTAGGGCGGCTCTAGCCCGGCCTCCTGCCCTGAGGTGCCAGAAACAGGGGGGCCCAGGACACAGGCTTGTGGGAGACCCGAGAGAGAGAGTGGAGAGACAGGAGGGTCAGGCTGGCAGGGCAACGGGAAGGGCCCCAAGCACTTAGAGACATTTCTAGCACAGCAGGTCTTCCTTCTTCCCCCGCACATTCAGGCTGTCTTGCTTACAGCGGATACAACTCTTGCAGCAGTGACTTGTTTACAACCTGATCCCACTGTGTGTATCTCACGCAAATAGCAGTGACCAGACATTGGCACCAGGAGCCTGGACAGCACAGTGGCCTGGGCTGGACACTGCTGTGCCTGGGGAGGGCAAGGGCATGGGGAGTCAGGCCCTGTGTGGGGACCCTGCGTGTGGCCATGTGCCCATCAGCTCCCTGAGTCCACTGGGCCAACCAGGGTGAGCCGTCCACACCCATCTCTGGAATCGAGCCATCTCCAGAAGCGTCTGTGCTGTGGTGTCCAGGGTTAGTGGTGTCTGTCTCACTGTGTAACTTTGATCCCAGTGTGTCCCATAAAAACTGTTTAGATCTCAGGGCTAGGGGTGTTTCTGTCCCATAAATTAGACTGGAGGGTCAAGCTCAGTCCTGCCTGGCTCCAGGGAGGACTGCCGGCCATCCAAGGGCCGTGCATGCGACTCACAGGTGGCTGGGGCGGAAGCCTGTGTACAGCCCGGTCAGCACCCGAGGGCCACGTGGAGACTCAGGCAGCTTCCCGGTAATGCACACTCATGTCTTGCAGCCCCACACACTGGAAGCAGACGCTGTTTATGATGGACGACCCCGTCCCTGTCCATGTGGGAGATGTGGTCACAGGCTCGGTTGTGTTGCAGAGAAACCCTGTGTGGAGAAGGCACATGTCAGTGGCTCTCAGCTGGGCAGTCACTTCCAGACAAGACCCCACATCTCAGAAAGTAAGATATTTGGTTGTAAAATTATGTCTTGTTGGTAGGTCCTCGAGGAGGCAGGTCTGGGGGGTAACGATGGCAGATGGTTGTTCACTCTGCCTGTGGCCCCTACCCCTTCTGCACCATTTATTTCATCCTCACACAGGAATCGGATGCTACTATTAGCTTGGTTTCCCATTTTACAGAACAGGAAGTAGAAAGTTTGGGAGGGTGAGTCATTTCCTCCAGTGGCCCAGTGAGCATAGAGACCCCAGCAGTCTGAGGGTCACTCCTGCACGTCCAGAAGAGCCCCTGGGGCAGAGAGAAGACTGAGCTGAGCCGAGCCGAGCCATGGCCCACCCTCTGCACAGACTATCCTGGCTTTTCAGGCAGTAGTTGCCCTAGACATGTATTGGAGACACATGTCTGACTGGAGGCTTTGTCTTCACGTGTGAAACCATGTGCAGAGCACCAGTGTGGCTGGGGCCTGAGAGGCTTTGCTCGCTCAGGCCTCAAGTCTCAGAGGCTGCTGAGGAATGGAATTCTCTTCTTTGGATTCAGGGTTAATGTGGGAGAGAAAAGAAAAATAATCATTTGATTTCCCTTTATTTTTTAATACCATTTTTTGTGCTTTGCTTTGTGCTAATTTTAAGTTAAAAATTTATTGTTTGTCATTTAAAAATTTCTGCATTTGAATGCTGTTCTCTTGTCCGATATTAAATGATTAGGAAATACTATGTTAATTAAACAAATGTTTTATTATTTGATTGCCTTATTCTCATTTGTCTTTTTCAGGTTGGAGAAAAAGTCTTCCCCATCTGGAGATGACAGTGGTGTTCTGTTTGGAAAGCAGTGTGCGTATCTTGAGGGATGAACACGAGTGAATCAAGACGCACCTGGCTGCTCACACGTGCTCCCGTGAGTCTGTGGACATTCGCTCCGCATTGACCCTCCCTGGCCTGGCAGGTGACGTCAGGGCCCTTCACAGACAAACGTGCTGCCCGGCTGCCCTCGCTGCCAGTGTCCACCCTCTAGAAGTAGGCTGTGTTCCAGGTGCCACCCCGTGGTTAGGTCAGTGTTCCCACGCTAGGTCTAGTTCTACACTCCTAGGACGCACGCATGTCAGCCTGTGTACCCTGTGACAGTGATGTTCACGCGTCATGTGTTCGTGGTGTCCTTGCTGCCATTGGCTCATCCAGTTAACACGCAGGATGTAGGATTGCAGAGCCGTGCAGGTGTGTGCAGGGGACGCTGGGTTGCTCTGGCCCAGCGCAAGAGCTGGAGGTAGCAGTGCATGTGGCAGGCTCTGCATGGGATAGTACCGTTGCATAGACGTCTTCCAGATAAATTATGTGTGGCACATAGTACATGCTCAATAAATATTTTTTAATGAACAGATGTTATGTGTCCTATTTCAGTGCATATACATGATTTTTATAAGCATGGAGTCACATTATTCGCATTGCTTTGTAGCCTTTATATTATGAAGAAACTTCTATGTCAGTAGATACATACCCACAATTTTTTTTGTACTGTTTTGATTTTTAGTAAGATTTTATTGGAAAATAAGGTATATACTAAAAACTGCACTGTCACAAATATATAGATGGTGAGATTTCACAAAGAGGACACACACATGACCAGCACCCAGGCCAAGCCTGTCCACAGGGCCACTACTCAGTCTCCCCTCAATGGCAGTGCCCTGACTTGTGATGTTATAGATTACTTTTACTTGGTGTTGAACGTTATATGAATGGAATTATACATGTGTATTTTTTGTCTGCTCCACTCTGTTACCTCATTTATTAGCCTTAACTACTTCTGCAAAGGCCTAATCTCCAAGTACAAGCACACTGTGGGTTAGGGCTTCAACATATGAATTTTGGAGGACACAGTTCGGTCCATGGCATTCTCCTGGCCCTCCAACATCCATGTTCTCATGTGGAAAATACATTCATTCCACCCCAGCAACCTCCAAAGTCTTAGCTCGTTACATCAACTCTGTGGTGCAAAATCTCATCTAAATGTCATCTAAACCAGCTTGGGTGAGGCTTATCCTGACCCCAAACTCTCCAGCTGTGAATGTGTGACATCAGACAAGTTACATGCTTCCAAGCACAATGATGGGGTGGCACAGGATAGGCATTCCCATCCCAAAGGAAGAAACCAGAGGGGAGGAAGGGCTCACAGGTCCCAGGCAAGTCCAAAACCCAGCAAGGCAAACTCATGAGATCTTGAGGCTCAACGGTGACCCTCTTGGCTGGTGTTCTGCCCTGGGTGGCAGCATCACCTGTGTGGTATAATTGTATTGAAATTCTTTTAGGAATCATTCAACTGCATCTTATACTTTCTTTGTATCCAAGAATTAAAGTCATATATTGACTATTTTGTTGCATTAATAAACCCACTGTTTTCTCCACAGTCTCATTTCTCCACCAGGATATAAATTTCATGAGAGCAGGATATTTGTTCACCGATGTATCCCAGCACCTCACTGGAGGACTGGAACATACAGATTTGTTGAATGAATAACTTTTTTTCCAGAAAATACTCTAGATGCACATGGACATTTCATAAATTTGAATAAAGTTTCCATCTGATACAGTCTGGTGAAGAACCAATTCAACTTTTCAGTAATGAATGAAAAAATATAGCATCCGTTCTGTATCTTTCTTTCGAAATTTCTTTTTTATAGTTTACACACTTTACAAGCCTGGTGATATAGTATAATTATATAGTAATATCTCTGGTAGAATACATAAGATTCATACTAAATTGTTGTTTTTAATGGTGTTGTGTCTCTAAAGACATATTTATGAAATTCAGCAGAAAACATTTTAAAACGTCTTGCACTTTCCTCAAATACGACCTGATGTCCAGCGAGGCTCCATAAAGGGAGGTCAACCGACTTCCCGACCAGGTGTCTACTCCCGGCCGCGGGCTGCAGCGCGGCAAAGCCGAAAGCAGCGTCCGACAAAAACCCGTAAATAAGAGAGGTGTTTTTGAACCACAAGGTTCCTTACTGGTTGCCGCTTCTCGGCCGGCAGGGAAGGAGCCCAGTGATCGGCCGAAGCCGCCGGGCGGTTAGTGGCTTCCTCTGCCCAAGTCACCAGAGAACGGAGAGGCGATGACTGTTCCGGGGTTTCGGCCTTCCCTGCGGCGTCGCAGGTCTCATACTGACAGAGCAACCGGGAGGCACCGGCCGCTGCGGGTCAGCGGGGCGCCGGTGGGCCTCGTGGGAGGCGGAGCGGCAAGGCCAGACCCTCTTCTGGCAGCACCCCAGCAGGACAGGCGCAGCGGAAGTGACGGAACCAGCGCCCGGGCGTGCGGCGCTTCCGCTTCCGGGATCCTCTGCTTCCGGCCTCCCAGAGCCCTAAGTGGGCGGTGGGGCTGCACGTCCTCGTGCGGTGCCTTCTGGCCGCGGCAGGGCGAAGCTGCGAGCCCGGGTGCGGTTCAGCACGCCGGGCTTTCATATTCTTTCTCACTGGATTTGGTGATGTAAAGTTTTTCTTGTTTCTCTTTTAAGAAAGGGGGAAAAACACCCAAACTTTCAGTGACATTCCCCCTTGACACTTCTAGTGACCAAGGACTTGGCCTTGGGTAGATCCCTTAACTGCTGCCATTTATTAATTCAACAAATATTGAGCTGCTTCTGCCCCCTGGGTGCTGGGGGCACGGTGCGAGCAGGATGAGGACTCTTCCTCCGAGCCGGGGTCTGGGGAAGGGGAGAGGCCCTGCGCACGAGAGAGCAGGGATGAGGTAAGTTCAGACGGCGGTAATGGGGCCAGAGTAGGGGGAGAGGGTTGGACAGGGTACAGCCCCTGGGCAGCAAGGTAGGGCTCTCTGGAGGTGATGTCAGAGCAGACCCCTAAGTGACCACCTGGAGAACACTGGGAAGGTCCCGGAGGGGTGGTGAGATCGGAGACACCGCCCATGCAAAGGTTCTGAGGTGGGGGTGCTCTTGGAGTGTAGGGATAGCAGTCAGCCCTGCGTGTGAGCAGGGGACATGTGGGAGAGGCGGGCAGGTCCAGAGACATACAAGGCACTGTAGACTGAGCTGATGAGTTTGGACATGGTCCTGATTGTCACATGGGCAGCAGTGGAGCCAGCAGGATGCAGTCTGTGTTTTGAAAAGACCTTTTTGGCTGATGGGTGGGGAATCGACCATGGGGACAAGGGTATCAATGGGGGCCCTGTGAGGAGGCAGAGATAAGGGTGCCAAGGATCAGGCCCTAGGAGTGGCTTTAGGAGAGATCTGAGGTGGATCTGGCAGGACTTACAGAAGGACAGGATAGGGTGAAGGTACGGATAGAGTCACACTCTGGGTGTTTGGGGCGATTTTGCTGCATCTCCTACAGTAAAACCTTCCAGCTAAGATAAGCAGATAGGAGTATTCTTGGAAGGAATCTCAGTTATAACAGAAACCTGTGGACATGGAAAGTCATTTCAAGAAGCAGAAAGAGTTCCTAAGGGCACTGGAGATACTTTAGAGACTGATTCTGGAAGCCTATTTGACTTGCTTTTGGGAAAGGAAGGAGTGATATGTGGTGGATTTTGGGTTACCAACCCCTCTAATGCCTATAAACACACCCCTTTGCAATGCGACTTGGCCTCTACTTCCAGCAAGATGTGGGGTCTGTTTCCTTGCCACCCGTTGACTCTGGGTTTAGCTATGTGATTCCTCTGGCCAGTGGGACATAGGCAAATGTGACCCCAGAAGAAGCTTGAAAAGTGTTTGTTCACTGGGACTTGTCTGCTCTTGGTGCTCTTTGGGACCTCTGATCACCGCCATGGGAGTGAGCCCAGGCCGCCTCCTGGAGACACACTGCCCAGCTGACAGCTGACACCACCTGCCAGTCATAGTAGTGAGGTCATCCTAGACCCATGTGTTAGTTTCCTGTGGCTTTGTAACAGATTACCACAGACTTTGTGCTTAATACAACAGAAATGTATTATTTTACAAGTCTAGAAGCTGGAAGTCTGAAATCAGTTACACTGAGCTGAAACCAATGTGCTGGCAGAGTTGTGCTTTCTCTGGATGCTCTTGAGGAGGCTCTCTTTTTTGGTACTTTCTGGATTCTATAACTGCGTCCCTTGGCTCTTGGGTCTTTCCTCCATCCTCAGAGCCAGCAATGTAGCATCTTCAGGTCTCTTCTCTGTCTTCACATTGCACTTTCCCCTGTTCTGCCTGAAGTCTCCCTTTGCCTCTCTCATAAGGACATTTGTGATTGCATTTAGGATCCACTCAGATAATCTAGGATAATACCCCCACATCAAGATCTTTAACTTAATCATTTGCAAAGGCCATTTTTCCATATAATATAATATTTACAGGTTTCAGGGATTAGGACTTAATATTTTGTGGGGCCATTTTTCAGCCTACTTCATCAACCACTCCACCCCCCACCCCCTAGCTGAGCATCAACTGACTGTGAGCTTGGATAAAACCAATTGAAGACTCTCATCTAACCCAGCCACAATTGCTGATCACAGAATTGTAAACAAATAAATGATCATTGTTTTAAATCATTAAGTTTTGGGGAAGTTTGTTATGAGGCAAAAGCTAACTGATACATGATGATTTTGTTTGACAGCATCTGAAAGCCACTTTTTACCACACTCTGCCTTTGGATTTGGTTTATTGTCACAACATCCCAGATGAAAATACTAGTTTAGTAATTTCCTTAGTAATTAGAAGCAGCCTTTTCCCATCTCTGTCTCTGTTTCTTATCACTAAAAATCATAAACCAGACTTAAATCAGTCTCATACAGGCAAGATAAGAAAGTAGAAAACACTTTTCTGAAACAACTAGTTATTTGTTTATGTGTGTATGTATTTTTGCTAACCAAATATCACACAAATATGCCTTTTTTGTTTATTGAGACTAAGTCTCACTCTGTTGTCCCAGCTATAGTGCAGTGGCATCATCATAGCTCCCTGAAGCCTCCAACTCCGGTGCTCAAGTGATCCTCCTGCCTTGACATCCTGAGTAGCTGGGACCACAGGCATACGTGCAGCCATGCCTGGCTAATTTTTAAACTTTTTTGTAGAGACGGGGTCTTGCTCTTGCTCAGGCTGGTCTTGAACATTCTAACCTCAAGCAATCCTCCCACGTTGGCCTCCCAAAGTGCTAGGATTACAGGCATGAGCCACCACACCTGGCCCAAATGTGACTTTTTTGAGACAAAATGTATTTGACACCAGGTGGCAACTTGGTTATACAAGAGGTTATTTTCTAGATCTGATTATATTAATGCCAAAGCATTTTAATCCTATGAATGAGCTCATAGAAAGGAAGAACAGTTTAATAATCTGATCTCATTAGTCAGGCTGGTTTTCACATACATATGGTTCCAACTCTCTCTACCTGGCACAGACCATAAATACAAGGGAGCAAAAAATCCACACATATCAAATCAAAAATGAGAAGTTAAACATGTAACTGTAAACACAAAAAAAAGTATAGGCATTTGCAGAACTGCTTTAATGTGCTGAGGCAGGATTCACATCAGTAGCAGTAAGTGGCATTGGCCACATAATGCATGCTTGCTTTATTAAATACAGAGCAATAATAGTTTGCTAAGGGCATTGGTTATACTTGGTTATGAAGTTATAGTATCCAAGGTGTTAATTAAGCCACATGTAGTCTTTTTCTTTTTTTTTTTTAAGACGTAGTCTCACTCTGTTGCCCAGACTAGAGTGCCATGGCATCAGCCTAGCTCATAGCAATCTCAAACTCCTGTGCTTAAGGAATCCTTCTGCCTCAGCCTCCTGAGTAGCTAGGACTACAGGCATGTACCACCATGCCTGGCTAATTTTTTCTATATATTTTTAGTTGTGCAGCTAATTTCTTTGTAGTTTTAGTAGAGATGGGGTCTCGAGCTTGCTCAGGCTGGTCTCAAACTCCTGAGCTCACATGATCCTCCTGCCTCGGCCTCCCAGAGTGCTAGGATTTACAAGTGTGAGCCACCGTGCCTGGCCCACATATAGTCTTTATTATACTGTATACCCCAGTTATGAGGAAGAATGATTTTGTTCCTTGAAATGATTTGTCATCCAATTTAACTGATTTGAGGTTCTGTGGAGGACTTTGTGCTTTATTACCCAACTGGGGAATCCTGAAACTTCTGAGAGGAGAGGGTGACTCAGGAGAGAGTCTTTCAGGTAACATTAGCACATCCTGTTCAGGCTCACAGTTTGGAAGTCCCCTTGGGCAGTCCTGTGGCTGGCTGCCTGGCAGTGTCATCTAACAGGCCCTCCTGGGAAGTAGAGGTGGGGGCTGCACACTTTTAGAGTTTATGTGCTCGTGGTCACTCTGAGCTGCTTTCTCCTTGTTTGGGTGCAGAGTGGGCCCTGGTGTGATGTAGCTGAGACATTCTGAGCCTGGATCCCCAACCGGGGCTTGGCCTCCCACCCTTATTCCTAAGTGTTTGATATTTTAAAAGCAATTGTAAATTATGTCACTGAAAAATTATTTTCTAATTGTTTGTCACTATTATTAGAAGTACATTTGAGTTTTGTATACTGTCTTGTGTCAATGATTTTGCTTATTAATAGTTGTTGTAGACTTCTTTGTATTTTCCGTGTACCCATCGTGTAATCAGTAGCTAATGACAGTTTCATTTATTCCTCTCCAGGTCTTTTTACCTGTCTCTTTCTTGTCTTATGGCCATGGGTGGACCTCCAGTGCAGTATTGAATGGGGATGGTGGTAGCAGGTATTTGTATCTCCTTCCCAATCTCAAGGAGAAATCATTTCAAGATTTCACCATCAGGTAAGGTCTGATGTTTGGTGTAAGTGTTTTGTAGATACTATATAAGATTAAATAAATAGTCTTCTATTCATAGTTTTCCAAAAGTTTTCCTTTTACTCATGAAGAGATGTTTAATTTTATACAATGATCTTTCTGCATCTGTTGACATGATCCTGTGATTTTGCTTGTCCTGTTAATATGCTGAATTACATAAGGCAATTTTTGAATATTAAATCAACTTTGCTTTTCCAGAATAAATCCGTTTGTTCATGATATGCTACCTTTTAATATTGTTTTATATTTTGAGACTGTGTTACATTGTTAAGTCTAATTTTCTAATATTTTGTTTAGGAATTATAGATTTGACCTCTAATTTCCCTTTCCTTTACTGTCTTTGTAGAGTTTTTGTGTCAGGGTCATACTGGCCCCATCCACCAAGTTGGGAAGTGTCCCTTGTTCACTTTCTCCTGAAGATTCATGTGAGTGTGTTATTTCTATGCTAAATGCTTGGGAAGTCATCCAGCCCAGGGTTTCTCTGTTAGAAGGTTACCTGGGTTGGGGGGACACAGAACCTGCCTGTGGGGGGACCAAGGAATAAAGAGAAAGACCTGGGAAAAGGGACATCGAGGGGAACAGGCAGGAACTTAGCGGACTTGGAAGAACCCAGCCTGATTCTACGTGAACAAGGGCACAGCATCCCAGTCTGGAGTCCTGAAGAAATCTACACCTGTGTCCATGTGGGGCTGTCTCTTGCCCTGTGGGACGTGAGCATCTACTCACAAAATGGTGTAAACCTCATTTACCTGCTCTAGCTCCTTTACTGTAATTGTTATGTTAAGAGTTTAAATAAAGCCACTTTAAACTAAACAACAAATACTCAAGGGCCCTTAATCCCAAGGAGACTCATTGAGCATAAGCCTGACCTTTCTGCTGCCCCCCCCCAAAGCCTTCGCCATTTCCTACGTACAAGGCTGAGAAGCTGCGCAGAATGTGGCTGATAAGAAGCAGGAGATTCTAAACGGAGCTGGCAAGGTTGAAGGCTGGGGAGCAAAACCTGGGGGTCCGGGCCATGACCCTGCAGAAAAACGAAGCCCATAGAAGCGAGCCTGGTGTTCTGTGTTCTGTGTCCACAGGAGTATTAAGACAAAAATCAGCAATAATGAGATATATCATTATAATATGTGCAGTGAAGTATATATTAATAATAATGAGAGAGAGAATGGGAAGGGGGAGAGAGAAAGAGAACCTGTCTGTAACATCCCATTAACAATGAGCCCAGATCTTGGCTTCTAAAACCCATTTTCCACTGGAAGGAACCAGAGAGCCCTGGAGAAATGGCTGATTGCAGGGCTGTGTTAGGGATGGTACAGGAATAGCCAGAAAGCAAGGATGAGCTCAAAGAATGAGGGGACACATCAAAAATACACAGAAGCCAGCTTGGAGGGGCTCCCACTGGCCGACTTTGGGGCAATTTGAATGTCAAAATAAATAAGGAAATAACAGATTATAACCAATTGAATAAAATAGGAAACAATAAATGTATGTAGATATGTGACTACATTGAGAATTTGATGAGGAAGGGGATGTTTACATAGTTTCACAATACTTTCCCACACAATAGTAATGTCAAAGGGGAAAAGATTGTCATCCTGGTGGAGAATCCTGGAAGGTGCCAGCTCCAAGTGATGGCAGTGAACACCCTCGGCAACAGCCCACATGGAAGCTGGGTGCCCCTGGCAGGGGACAGCATCGCCGTCGAGGTCTTCCTGCCAAAGGCACAGGGCACCACAGCTGGTTGTGGCAGGATGCGCCTATGTGACCAGACTCCACAGAGCCCTGGACCCTGCAATTCAAACAGACTTTCCTGGGGAGAGATTTCACACGTTTGTATAGCATGAGCATGTTGTTACGGAGAAAGCCCTGTGGGTCTCCAGATGGGGCAGAACTCAGAAACTTGTGCCCGGTCTCTGTGGACCCCACTGGGTGTGCATCTTTTTCCTGGTGCTCTCGGCCTGCATCCCTTTGCCATAATAAACCTTATCCCTTAGTATCCCCTTGGCCAAGAGAGGGTCCGTTCAGTCAGCTGGGGGGAAGCTTAAGATTTTATTTTAGTTGACATGTATTTAAGGAAAATAATTATCTCTTCCATATTCATGTGCATTGTTCATTTTAGAACTTTTCAAGTGATTATCAGAAGTTTTCTAAGTTATTCCAGGCAAGGTTTATCAAAATAGAGCATGTGAGAAAGATCTATTTCTTAATTTGTTGACAAAATACTTTATTTCAAGATTCTGGTTTGGTTTTGATGATTTGATGGTTTAATCCGTACGTTTGACATTTTGGGTGGCATTGCAGCAGTGGTGTGTGAGTTGCGGAGTAGTGTAGGAGAGGTATGTAACACACACACTCATGGATGCATAGGAATGGCTTTCTGTAATTTTGTGTTTGTTAGGGGTAATAGAGACTACCGACCAACAGGGTACAAGAGTCTATACCTTTTTTTCTTTGAACTCAGGTTAGCTGGCTCCCTTTGGATATTAGGATTTATGTGCCACAGGAAGCAGTAACTTCTTAGCCTTTTCTCTCTTTTTTCCCAATTCACAAATGTGCAGAGTTTTAATGGACATTTCTCCAAATATCATATACAAATGCCCAATAAACACATGAAAAGATACTCAACATTATTAGTCATTAAAGAAATGCAAATCAAAACCACAATGAGATACCACTTCACACCACTGGGATGGCAGTAATCAAAAAGATAGACAATAATAAGTGTTGGTGAGGATGTGGAGAATTTGAAAAATTTAAATGGGTCAGCCACTTTAGACAATTTTTGACATTCCTCAAAATGTTAAACAAAGAGTTACCATATGAACCAGGAAGGAAATATCTAGAGTATTTACCCCTGAGAAATGAAAGCACATATCTGCATTAAAACTTGCACACTAAGGCTCACAACACCATTATTTATAATGTGCAAACAGTAGAACAAATGATGGGCAGAGAAGCAAAATGTGGTATTAGCCACTCAATAGACATTATTCACACATAAAAAAGAATGAAGTGATGATACATGTTACAAAATGGATGGACCCTGAAAACATGTTAAGTGAAAGCCAGTTGCAAAAGACTACGTATTATATGACTGTATTAATGTCACACACCCACAATAGACAAATCTATACAAACAGAAAGTAGGTAGGTGGTTCCCTAAAACTGAGATGTGGGAGGGGGGATGGAGAGTACTGCTAATGGATATGGGTTTCCTTTTGGGATAAAAAAGAGATCTAAAAGTAGATTGTGGTGATGCTTGCACAATTCTGTGAATGTTCTAAATACCACTGCGCTGTATACTTTGTATTGGGTAAGTTGTATGGTCTATGAATTTATATCTCCATAAATCTGTTTGCAAAAGATTTGAGAGCCTGCTTTGCACATCACAATGAGGAATTTTAATGAACTGAAAAACATCAAATCAACAGAAATCAACATCTACAGAAAAAGATAATGTGCATTTGACAGCATATACGGTGGCTCTTAAATCCACTCCTTACCTGGAAAACTGGTATTTAAAGGTCAAGAATTAAGGCTTTGTTCTGTCTTCACAGCATTGATGATTTGGAGGAATTTTTAATTTTATTGTACACGATATTATTTTAGCCAAGTAAGTAAATCTTCTTAGTTTTGAGATGTACCCTAGGAATGCCAAAGCGTCATAGTTGTCCAGCATCACATCCATGTACAAGGCCTCCTGAGCAGGCGTCAGGCTGTCCCATTCCTTCTTAGGGAAGTGCACAGCCACGTCCTCAAAAGTCACTGATTCCTGGGGCCTGGTTGCCATAGATACAGCTGCTATCATCTGACCTTTTTTATTCCCGTCTTTGGTAAAGATAAAAGTCTGAAGAGCGTGGGCTCCTGGCGGCCTCTCAGCTTTCCAGAAAACAGGTTGTCGGCGCTACACACCACTCCTCGTATACCAACCCTCGCATGTTGAAAATCAGCACTTTATTATTAGCAAATAGGTTCTGACCTAAGATTAGTTTTTCTTTCTTATCACTGATGACATATTTTGGTCATAAGAATAAAAATTCGATTATATTCATGAAAATGAGAGTAATCAAATGAAAGAAACCACAATTGTCACTTCTGTAAATAAAGCTTTAAATCACCAACTAGATTAGCTATATACAGATGTCAGGAATCATATGAAGTGTTTAGAAACCTTGATGCCCAGAGGCAGAGCTGCATTTTGAGAACAAGGAGCTGGGACTAGAGATCAGGTCCCACAGAAAGAGCCAAGTCTAAGGCCTCAGGTGGCTCTAGAAATGAGGAAGTAACAATTCATGTACAAGTGAAGTGAAGTCTTCTTGTGATTCTTCACCAATTAAGATACTGGTAATACCACACAGGTAGCCTTGGGTTTCAGGTTTTCTACACTGCATTTATGTGTGCATTGCATAATTTAGATGTGTGCTTCTTAGAGACTATAAAGTTTTACACTGAATTCAACTTTTATTGCTTATCAATTCAGGCATCATAGTTCCTCTGAGTTAAATTCATAACAGCAACCATTTAGCATAATGCCATGGGCCATGTTGATTCTCAGGATGCCCTATGAGGTAACTATTTTTATCCCTGTTTTATGTAGCAGAAACTAAATTTCAGAATTTCTAAGTGGATTTTCCCAGATCACACACCCAAGTCTCTGAATCCAAGATCTGTGTTGTTTGCCTTCACACTGTACAATTGGATCTCTGCAATGCTAGGTTGTTGGACAAGAGAGGGACTGAGTCCAGGAAACTTATTCCCTCCATGTTCCCCTTCATTGACATGGAACATGTGCTGGTCTCTGAGCATACCTGAGCCAGTGAGTAATAAATAGTTAGCATGTAATGAGGTTGTTGGACAGGAGAGGGGCTGAGTCCAGGAAACTTCTTCCCTCCATGTTCCCTTCATTGTCATGGAACATGTTCTGATCTCCAAGCACACCTGAGCACTGTGAGTAATAAATAGTGTGTAATAAGGTTGTTGGACAGGAGAGGGGCTGAGTCCAGGAAACTTCTTCCCTCCACGTTCCCTTCACTGTCATGGAATATGTGCTGGTCTCCGAGTACACCTGAACCCTGTGAGTAATAGTCAGCGTGTAATGAGGCACTTGCTTGCAGGTGGATTTTCTCTACTCTTTGCTGCTCCTTTTCCCTCTTCTGCTACTGATGTGGCTTAATCACATTGGAATAGAAGAATGGAAAATCAAAGTAATAATGGTGTGATTCAAAGACTAGCTTGAGGAAAATCGTAACATATGAATAAAATTTCATTGAAGGATATGGACTAATTGACTCATTGTTATTACTCTACTTGGGCTGCCATAATAAAATTCCATAGCCTTGGTGGTTTAAGCAACAGAAATTAATTTTCTCACAGTTCTGAAAGCTGGAAAGTTCAAGACCAATGTGCTGAATGATTTGATTTCTAGTGAGGGCCTCTTCCTGGCTTGGAGACAGCTGCCTTCTCACTGTGCCTCATGGAAGGCAGGTAGAGAGAGAGAGCTCAGAGAGCATGAACAGGCCTCTGTCAGCTCTTACAAGGGTGCTAATCCTATTGTATCGTTGTACCAGGGCCATATGTTTATGAAGGCCATATATTCAATACTGTCACAGCTTAGAGCTTCAATATTTGAATTTTGGGGAAAGTTCAGTCCATAGCACTCATAGTTTCCATATTCACTATACTGCGCTCGTCTGCGAGCAAAGTAGGTATCTCATCTGATCTTTGAGGTCATATGACCAGTCCATAGCTCAAATAATAAACCATTAGTAAGGGATTTAAAAACATTTTAAAATAAAATTGGCCATAATAATTATATAAACTATAAACAATATGAAAATTTATATTTGTTACACACAAATATGTTCAATTTATTAATAAATTGATTATCATTTAAGAAGATACAACCATTGTTAACTATTTCTTCAAAAGCAATTATCTAGCACAAAAGTGCTTCAAAATTACAATTGATGTACAATTATTATAAAACAAACTTCACATTTAAACCAATCCAACCTATATTCTGGCCAAAAATAACTAATTGTACAGGTCATGATGAGAAATACTAGCTTTATTCTTTATAAAAACTTATTAGTTACTTTAAAAATTTATATCATGTATGTAACTATTATACATTCAAATGGAATGCTGCCACTAAATTTTTTATGTTGTTATAAAAACTTTAAATGGCTGCATATTATTTCACAGTACAGAAGCATGAGAACTAAAAATAAAATCCTAAGTCCCACCACTGACTGAATGGACATCCTCTTGCCAAGGGGACCCCAGAGAAACCCTAAAAACGACCTCCCTGGCCATGATGGGATGAGCAGTCAGACATGCTTCCGTATACCTCCCCATTGGTGGTTTAGACACAACGACTGACCAGGAGTAATCTAAAAATAGGCATCATACGAGTGGCAGAATGGACTCTTTGTGGCAATAAGATACCAAGTTATAAACAAGACCTAAGGTCCTGCCAGACAAGGGCTAAGTCGTGCACCCCACACTTAAAGCATAAACTGTGTTCTGCCACAAGGTTTTCCTTTTTCCCCAGCAGCTAAACAAGCGCTGGCCTGGAGATAAGCAATATTGAAACCACTGCAGCTCATCCACCGCCACATGGTAGCTGACCCCCACCCCTCTGTTCCACCAGCCATAACTGCAGCGTTCCCTGCACTGAGACTGATCTTAGCAACTTTCTCCTGGTAAGGGTCCACTGCCCATGGACTGGTTCTGGCTGGTTTGCAGAGGCTGCCCACTGGAGCACTTCTGTGTGCCTCCACCTTTTGATGTGTAGGCCTAGTTGGGATGCATGTAAATGTTAATCCTTTACCCAAAGTGATCATGGGCTGTATGTAACATACATGTTTATCTAACCCACATGTGTGTGACTCCCGTTTGTGAATATTCATAGCACCTCCTGTAACCTGTTGAATATGTATGTTTAGTCAACCTATTCAGCATAAAGCTCCTGCCCTAATCCCTCCTTTGAACTGCCTGCCTCTAGTTTTGGCCAGAGACCCACTTCTAAGCCTGCAGGTTGTAAACTTTTATAAGAAATAAAATTTCGGGGTTGGAGGCACGCAGAGCCAGAGCAGCTCAGAGGCAGTGAATAATAGCTCTTCAAGTCTCCGATAAAAAAAGGCCTCAATAAAACTACATTGCAAAAATGGGAAAGAAACAGAACAGGAAGAGTGAAAAGGTTGAAGAGGCAGAGCCTGAAGACTTTGTGATGGAAAGGTACTGGATCCATGTATAGTAAATGGGAAAGTGGAGTGTTTCCTGCAGTGGGAGGGATTTGCAGATGCTGACAGTACTTGGGAACCTGAGGAAAATTCAGATTGTCCAGAGTTAATTGAAGCATTTCTTAATTCTCAAAAAGCTGGTAAAGAAAAGGTGGTACAAAAAGAAAATCTTTATCTGACAGTGAATTTGCTGATAGTAAATCAAAGAAGAAAAGAGACGCTGCTGACAAACCAAGAGGCTTTGCTGTAGGTCTTGATCCTGAAAGAATCATCGGTGTCACAGGCAGAGTGGGGAAGTCGTGTTCCTCGTGGAACGGAAAGATTCACGGGAGGCAGATCTGGTGCTGGCAAAAGAGGCAAATGTGAAGTGCCCTCAGGTTGTGATTGCGTTTATGAAGAGAGACTAACTTGGCACTCTCGCCCGGAGGCTGAAGCTCAATAGCTGTTTGCATGGCTTTACGTGTGTCTCTCAGGCGTCGGTCCTGCTCTTGGTGGATGTCTGGGTGGGCGTCGGGCTCTCAGAGGTGCCGGTCACAGAGCATGTTGGCTTTGGGCCTCCCTAGATTCTCAAGAGGGAGAAACTGGTTACACCAGTTTGACTGACAGAGTAAATGTGACTAAAAATAGTACATTTTCAAGTTCAATGAAAGGTGAAACTGACAATTTCAGATTTCTTAACAATGGCTAAACCATCAACTCTATGTTTGTGGTGTTCTTTCTGTGTATAAGAGAAGCATTGGGGCAAAGAGTCAAAATATCATTGACTGTGGGAGGGAAGTTGGCTTCTTTCACTTTAACAAGCCCTCATTTTCTTATTCTTTCAAGTGTCCAAAGTATTCTGGGGACATTGAAAGTTTATTAAGGTGTCATGTGTCAGCAGGCCATAGGTCATCAGTTAATGCATTTTCTACAATGAATAAATTAATGACATTAATAGTGCAATATGGATTACTCTAAACAGTGTTATAAAAATGGAGTAAATTTAAAAGAGCAATATATCTAGATAAACGTTAAGTACTCTTCTCATGAACTTTCATATTATCAAATTGGATTATCAAATTTTTCTTTTACATTTAGCATGTCCCTAAGACTTTCTTTTATCTTGCGATACTTCCCTAGAGTGGTGGCAATACCTAACCATCCCCAATGGCAAGCTCCTTTTCCACGCTGCGTGCGGGCATGGGAAGCGGCTGTCCACCCAGGGACAAAGATCCTCCCGTCTCCCTCTGTGCCCCTGGCACCCGCAGCAGTGCCAGGTCGCAGTCGCCACTCCACAAACACCTGCTGAGTCAGCGACTGTCCACCTGGGGCTCTCTGCTTCCTAAGTGACCCCAAAGCTCCCTCCCAACAGCAGGTCAGCTGACCCGGTGAGACCCCATCTCATAACTAGCGTTAGCCATTCTCTGAGAAACCATTCCGTTAGTTTATGGTCACTACAGCAATACGTTATTTGAAATACCCTAAACCAAAGGACTTATTGCAAGATACCTTCCTATGTGTCTGTTGAATTAATGTGTAAACGAATTGATTCTTTTTGTGATAGGAACCCACTGAGCGAGACATCCGAGCAGGGAAAATGAGAACAGACGCCTGTGAAATTGTGCAACAGTGAGCTCACGCATCGGCGCGAGTGAAGACAGACTGTGTGGACCCGCAACACAGCTCGGATGGAAAGGACGGGGCCGGGGCCCCGCATGAGGTGGGACGCTGCAAACTCGCAGCACCAGATGGCGCCACACCGCCGCCCACGTGGGAGAAGGGCGGTACCTGCACACATGTGCGAGAAAAGCTGGACTACTGCGCATGCGCAAGAAGGGGTGCCACCGCTGCACATGAGCGAAAATGGCAACTGCCGTCGCGCATGCCTGACAATGGCCGCCACCGCGAACAGGCAGTAATGACCACTAAAGCCACGCATGTGCCAAAATGACATCACCTCCTCCGTAATGTGTAAAAATGGCCGCCACCTGCACGCATGCGCAAAATTGGCCACCGCCGTTGCGCACGTGCCAAAATGGCCGCTGCCAGGGCCATGGATGTGAAAAATGAAACACCACTGCTTTGCATGCCCCAAAATGGCGGCCGCCACCGCCGTGCATTTGCGAGAATGGCCGCCAACTGGGGTGCATGTGCAATATGGCTGCCGCCAGCGCCACAAATGCAAAAAAACGGGAACACTGCTGCCTCACATGTGTCGAAATGGCTGCCATCAGCACCACGCATGCTCTATAATGGCCGCCCACCTCCACCCATGCACCAAAATGGTCGCCGCCAGTGGCAGGCATGCGAAAAAAGGGACACTGCTGCTGCACATGCGTCAAAATGGCTGCTGTCAGTGCTGCGCATGCTCTATAATGGCCACCCATCTCCACGCATGCTCTAAAATGGCCTCCCACTTCCACGCATGCACCAAAATGGCCACCACCAGCACACCCATGCTCTAAAACGGTCGCCACCTACACGCTTGCGCCAAAATGGCTGCCGTCAGCACCGCGCATGCCCAAAATGGCTGCCCTCTGCCGTGCATGCATCAAAATGGCCGCCGCAGGTGCCGCACATGCCCTAAAATGGCCACCACCACTGCCGATAATGGCTCCCGCCATTGTGCATACGCCTAAATGGCCTACAGACAATAAAATGGCCCCCACCATCACGCATGCGTCAAAATGGCCACTGCAGCTCAGAAAATGCACCTTTGCCATTGCGCATGCGCCAAAATGGCCCTAGCAGCCGCCAAAATGGCTGCCACAACTCTGAAAATGTCTCCCATGACCATATTTGCACCACAATGGTCACTGCAGTCGTGAAAATAACCAACACCTCAGCGATGAGTCAAAATGGCTGTTGCAGCCTTCCAAATAGCTGCCGCCGCCTCACATGCGCCAAAATCACCATCCCACGCCGGAAAATGGCCTCTGGAGGTCTGAAAATGGCCTGTGCCAGGGTGCATGCAAAAATGGCCGCTGCAGCCGCAAAAATGGCTGCTGGACATCTGAAAAAGACTCCCGCTGCTGCGCATGCATCAATATTGCCACTGCAGCCACAAAAACGGCTGTCGCAGGTCCAAAAATAGCCCTCATCACTGCCCGTGTGCCAAAATGGCCGCTATGGCTGCGAAAATGGACCAGGCCTTTGCGCATGTGCAAAAATGGCCGCCAAAGCCACCAAAATGGCTGCTGCAACTCAAATAATATCCCCTGCAGCCATGCATGCACCAAAATGGCTACCGTCAGCACCGCACATGCTCTAAAATGGCTGCAGCCAGTGCTGCGCATGCTCTAAAATGGCCACCCACTTCCACACATGCTCTAAAATGGCCGCCCACCTGCATGCATGCGTCAAAATGGCCACCATCAACACCGAACATGCTCTAAAATGGCCGCTGACCTCCACACATGCACCAAAATGGCCACCGCCAGCACTGCGCATACCCTAAAATAGCTGTGCACTGCCGTGCATGTGTCAAAATGGCCGCTGCCAGTGCAGCACTTGACCTAAAATGGCTGTCCACTGCTGTGCATGCCCTAAAATGGCCATCGCCACTGCCAAAAATGGCTCTCACCACTGCGCAAACGCCAAAATGGCTGCCACAGACGAGAAAATGGCCCTCACCACTGGGCATGTGCCAAAATGCCCACCAAAGCCACCAAATTGGCTGCTGCAACTCCAATAATGTCCCCAGCAGCGACACATGCGCCAAAAGGGCCACAGCAGCCACGCATGCTCCTAAATGGCTACACCAGATGCAAATATGCCAATATGGCCATGGCCAAATATGCCAATATTGCCATTGCACCAAAATGGCCGCTGCAACTCTGAAAATATCCCCTGCTCCTGCGCATGCGCCAAAATGGCTGCCCACTTTCGTGCATGTGCCAAAATGTTCATTGCAGCCAAGAAAATTGCCGTTGCATGCCCTAAAATGGGTTTCTGCCGCCTTACATTCATCAAAATGGCCGCCAGAGCCGCCAAAATGGCTGCTGCAACTCAAAAATTGTTCCCCTCGGCCATGCATGCCCCAAAATGGCCATTGTAGCCACCAAAATGGCTTCTGGAACTCCAAAAAAGTCCCTCACGGCTGCACATGCACCAAAATGGCCTTCATGGGTGCGAGAATGGGCCCCACTGCCATGCATGTGCCAAAGAGCAGCTGGAGACACCAACAAGGTTGCCAGAACAAAGATATTGTAACCCATGACCGCACATGCACCAAAATGGCCACAGCAGACTCGCATGTGCCAAAATGCCCATTGCAACTGCCAAAAGGGCTATCACAACTCTGAAAAAGTCACCTGCATCACAAATGCTCCAAAATGGCCATTACCACCAAGCATGACCCAAAATGTCCATTGCAGCTCTGAAAATGTCCACTGCCACCACACATGTGCCAAAATAGCAGTCAAAATCCCCAAAATGGCCACCAGAGCTCTGAAAATAGCCCCATTCACCATGCATATGCCAAAATCCCTGCTGCAGCTCTGAAAATGGCCACCGACACTGCGCATGCGTGAACGTAACCACTGAGGCCTCAGAAATGTTCTCCACTGCCGTGCATGTACCAAAATGGCAACCACAGAAGTGAAAATGGCCACCGCCTCCGCACATGAACCAAAATGCTTGTGGCAATCGTGAAAATAGCTGTCCTAGACAAATTAATGCCACCACGCCCATGCATGCACAAAAATGGATGACCAAGGTGTGTAAAAAAATGTGGGCCCATGGAGGGGTCCATGATGTACAGTGCAGCAGCAGGGGTCTGCCTGAAGTTTAGCATACAGGTTTGGTTGAAGTAAGGGTTAGGGTCAGGGTCAGGGATAGGGTCATGGTCAGAGTCAGGGTAGGGGTCAGGGCCGCAGTCGGGATTAGAGTTAGGGTGGTTAGGGTTAGGGTTGGCGTTAGGGTTAGGGTTAGTGTTAGGGGTTAGGGTTAGGGTTTAGGGTTAGGGTTAGGGTTAGGTGTTAGGGTTTAGGGTTAGGGTTACGGTTAGGGTTAGGG